GTGTCAACCAGTTAATTTTAGTGCAATTATATTTTATTGTTCTCTTAATCCAAGAACACAACAAATAACAGTAGATTCTCAGATCTTCATTCCATATCCTATAGCTTACTTGCAGTCAACATAATTGTTACCTCCCCCAAATGAACTTTTTGTCATTGAAAACACACTTTGCTTTTCAAAAGCTTAATAATAGAGTTATACTATAATTTTAGCTTTGAAAAGACTTAAGTTACTTTGAGTGCATTGGCAAATAATGTAGGCCTTGGTTTTTACATTTTAGGCAGCTATTGTGCAAGGTAGCATGGGACCCCAGAAATGACCGCGTAAGCTGAAAATATGCAAAGAGATCTTAGCATCTTAATAATCAATGAGGAAAATTCTCATTGTTTCATGACCTTTGCAATATTTTGTCGAAACCGTAACTATCTTATTGTCAGTTATAAACTTATGGGGAAATGCAAAAAAGAATAAAACTAATATTTATTTTGTACATTGTAATTTAGGTTAGAAATATTAAGAAATAAATTGCTTTAGTTCTTTGTAAAAACTTATCAAGAGTAGTGTGAACAGTGCTTGCCTTCTTCTATAATTTCTGCTACAGAGTAAGCATCTTTTGGTGAATGTCATACTGCTTGCAAGGTTGGATCATTTAAAATTAAATATAGGTAAGGCTTGCGGCATGGCGGGCTCAAGCCTGTAATCCTAGCGATGATATAGAATATAGATATAGATATTTATAAATTCAAGTGTCTATAGAAACTCATAAATGATAAAATACCAAAACTGTAGCTCTCTGGCAGTAAGAGAGTTTAAAAAGTTCAAGGAAATAGGCAGAGAAACTGCAAGACGACATGGGGGCAGAAATTATGTGTTGTCGATACAGGAAATTTGATATTGAAAAGCATTCACGTTGGCAAAATGGGACTTGATTGGGGTCACCTCAATGTGAGAGTAACTTTTCACTTATTCATGCCGCCTGGCTAGGCCTGGCCTGTCGGGGTGGCGGGGTGGGGCCCCAGCCCCATGTCCCTGCAGCATCCGCCAAGGACAGCTGGCAGTGACCGCAAGGGTGACTCGTTTTCAAAGGACTTGGCTAGGGCTGGAGGAGGAGGAAGAGGAAGGGTCAGTGGGGCGGCAGGGCCAGCAGGGGCTGTGGCCTGGGGTGGGGCCGCTGACCCCTCCAAGTCCATTGCTTTCTATTTTTTTATAGTAGAGATGGGGTCTCGCTCAGGCTGGTTTTGAATCCTGACCTTGAGCAATCCGCCCACTTCGCCCTCCAGAGTGTAATCTATTCTCATCAACTGCTACTTCAGCACAATCTCCCTTTTGAAAAAACTCATTTTCCCATTGATACAGAATATGTACTAAACTAAAATACAACGAGACAAATATTATAATATAGAAATGAGCCGGGCGAGGTGGCTCACGCCTGCAATCCCAGCACTCTGGGAGGCCGAGGCGGGAGGATTGCTCAAGGTCAGGAGTTCGAAACCAGCCTGAGCAAGAGCGAGACCCCCGTCTCTACTATAAATAGAAAGAAATTAATTGGCCAACTAATATATATAGAAAAAATTAGCCGAGCATGGTGGCACATGCCTGTAGTCCCAGCCACTTGGGAGGCTGAGGCAGGAGGATTGCTTGAATCCAGGAGTATGAGGTTGCTGTGAGCTAGGCTGACACCATGGCACTCACTCTAGCCTGGGCAACAAAGTGAGACTCTGTCTCAAAAAAAGAAATGTGCCAAGTGCTATAGGAATGCAGAAGTGAGAGTAATAACTTTTCCTTGGGGGATGGAGAAAGCTTTAGGAAATCATAAAATCTTCACCATTAACCTGGATCTTGAAGGATGCGCAGGACATTGCCATATAAACAAGGGGGAGGAAGGGTATCCAAGGAAGAGTACAGTGGTTGAAAAAGTATGAGATGATAAGAAAGATCATAGGGTATTGAAGCAACTGAGAGTAAACAAAATTACTGAAGCAGAGGGTATTTTGAGGAGTCGAGATTTAAAAGGCCTTATTAGGAAGGACATTGTGTGCCATGCTTGAGCACATTGTCAGTACTCGATATTTAGTGTTTCTTGAAAAAATAAAAGAAGGAATCTCAAAAGCAATGACAGTCCATTAAAGTGTTTGAAGCAGGGAGTCTTGATTAGGTTGCATGTTAAATAAATTAGAGAATAGAAAGAATAGAAATCAGCGGGCTACTTAGAAGCCCATTGCAGCTCTTCAGACAAGAAGTCAATTTAGTTTGTCACCTCATTTCATAAGCAAGGAAGCTGTGATTGCAGAGAAGTTAAATTTCTTGTTCTGTTAATCCTCAGAACTGGTTAGCAGCAAAATTGGCTTCTCTCCCCGTGCCCAAACATTTTTTCTGCTACATTTCCTTACCTACACATTCATTATTCACTGCCCAATGCTCGAAATATCTAGAAGAGGATTTCCATTGTAATGATGCCGTGGTACAATAATGTTGATACCTGCAAGCAGATCTAACTGGCTAGTAATATTTAAGTAAGATTTTTTGCATTTTGTAGGGTTCTTTTTTAGAGCGACATAATTTGATACTTGGTATATTAAAGAAGAATTTGACTTACAAACCAGCAGCTGAAAGTAACTTACAATGTCTGATGAACTGTTCCTTTTTTTGCTTATTTAAAAAAAAAAATTAGAAAGACATAATTAAAGACATAATTTTGTGGTTATTTCACAAAAATATTTCCATCTTTACATATTATCCTAGAGGAATTCATTTCTCTCTCTCACGAAACTCTCCAGCCAGAAAATCAGTGACTAATTTTCTCATACTCTAATTGTCAGCATCCAATCTTCCTCCTCTTCCTTCCTGTATTACATCAACTACCAGTTGCCAAGAAAATAGATTAGGTCATTTGTCCTTTTGGGAAGTTTTCTTATGCCATTTAACTCATTTTCTTAGTACACTGAAACTAAAAATTAGTTATGTTTTTTTGCCTCAAAACATTAGACTTGAGCAGAGAGATCAGGCATGATAAAAAAAATTAAGTTGGACTTACATTTTATTGTTTGAAGGTTTGGGTAGCAAGAAGCAGGTCTAGACTTGTTATAAAGGCAAAGCAGTAATTTTGCATCTTCAACTCCCAATTTCTGTTACAAACTGTTTTCATTTTGATAATGCATCTGAAAACTCTTCTCTGATTTACTCATTATTAGTCTGTATTGTTCTACTCACTTTGTGGACAATTTAGCTCCCCATAGCTACAGTTGCAGGGTCAGTGGGACCCATACTAGTGGAGAAAACCATGTGGTTTTTCCATTAGGAGAGGAGGATCAGACAGAAAATTCCTGGCTTGCTTTGATTTCTGAGAATTGGCTGGTCTTACCGGGGCCCACCCTTTCCTAAATCTAGAGTAATTTCTGAAATACTGAAGGTGAAAGAGACAATGATGAAAATTCTCAGGACCCCTGTAGGACAAATCAGAATTCCTTCTAATAATAGTCTTTGCTTCCATCATTCCCTGCACTGTACTAGGCCAAATCCAATATCTCGAAGACCATTTCTCACATGCAACTGTTGAATGCATTTTGACCCCAGTATAGCTCTATAAATCTCACTAGATAACTGTGGGGATCCCATCCATGGATCATAGTGATCTACAGCTCATAAAGTGATCTATAGCTCATTAGTGATCTACAGCTCATAAAACATAAAAGAACAAAATGGAAGTTTGAAAACCTAGAGCTTTCTCTGCCAGATATTTTTTGCCAAATGTTTTACTGTGTTTTGTGCTGCTGTAACAGAATCCTACAGACTGGGCAATTTATAATGAACAGAAATTTGTTTGGCTTATGGTTCTGGAAATCCAAGAGCCTGGCACCAGTAACTGGCAAAGACCTTCATGCTCATTAGGCCATGGCAGAGAGTGGAAGAACGAGAGAGAGCGAGAGTGAATGGGAGAGAGTAAGAGGGAGCAAGAGAGAGCGAAACTTGCTTTTACAAGAAATTCACTCACTTGATAACTAATGCACTCCCTCAATCATGGCATTTAGCCACTTATGCAGGCAGAGTCCTCATGACTTAATCACCTCTCAGAGGTCCCACTTGTCAACGCTGTTGCATTGGGGATTAAATTTCCAACACATGAACTTTGGGAGACACATTCAAACCACAGCACCAAATATCCGCCAGTGACCCATAGACTTGGAATACCCGTTGGCAAAAAAGTGAAAAATTCCATGTTCTCGTAACTGTGTTTTTATTTAGTGAATAATCAAAATGGGCATGAGATGGGAGAACCATTTTTTTTTTTAATTTAAACAAAGCTCAGCCCTGAAATATTTAACCAACAGAAATAGTACGAACATAATTCATGATCCCATGAATTTTTTTTTTTTTCTTTTTCTGAGACAAGGTCTTACTCTGAAGGCCAATCTGGAGTGCGGTGGCATCATCCTAGATCACTGCAGCCTCCAACTCCTGGGCTCAAGCGATCCTCCTGCCTCAGCCTCCTGAGTAGCTGGGTCTACAGGTGCACGCCATCACACCCGGCTAAATTTTAAAACTTTTGTGTAGATATAAGGTCTTGCTATTGCCCAGGCTCTTCTAGAACTCCTGGCCTCAAGTGATCCTCCTGCCTCAGCCTCCTGAAGTGGTACAATTATAGGCATGAGCCACCATGCCTGGCCTGAAGTAATTTTTAATGAAGTAGACTTTATTCAAGTCATGTCTTCTGGAAATAAAAATGGACAAACAACAACAACAAAAAAAGAAAAAACAAATGTGTCCTTGATGTCTCCCCTAAAGTCTACAATCTCTACACCTGTTTCTTTCATCCCTGGGTGATGTTAATCTTCTGTTTGTTTTGCTACTGTAAATCTAAGTACGTGTCGTTCACTCAGAGATTACCCTCCAAAAGTTGGTCTATGCCAGTTCTTTCTTCCTCCAAAAAAAACGTAAAGGGAAAAAAGTGTGTGTGTGTGTATATGTGTGTGTGTGTGTCTCCTGTCGGTGGTACTGTTGGTGGTTAAAAAGCAAGTTGGGACTTCCTCCTTGAACAGTTAGTTGCCTTTTCCTCTCACACAAGGGAGATTTCATTTTGTTTGAAACTCGATATAGTTGAAACCAAACCACACACTAAAGAGAGAGCATGATGGCCAAGAAGCCCCCAAAACCAGCCCCTCGCAGGATCTTCCAGGAAAGGTTAAAGATGACTGCTCTACCCTTGTACTTTGAAGGTTTTTTATTAGTCAAGCGGTCGGGATACCGGGTGAGTCTGTAGATGATCATGTTAAACCTGAAACTTCTGTCTTACTATACAATTTATCTCATAGTAATGTGATATAACAAAACTTCCTTGTTTCTGTTGGAATTAAACCCTTTTCCTTGAGCTCAGAAAAAGGATTCCAATTTTTCATAATTTAAATATAAAATATGGCTTAAACATATAAGTACACACATGTATACTATATATAATGATAATAGGTTTTTAATATTGTTACTAATATAAAACATTCAATAAGCTGAATTTTCAAATAATTTATTTAAATACCGCAGAAGATTTTGGATTAGGAGATAAAATATTTCTTATATTTTCTGCACCATTTACTACTATACTTCAATGATGAAGTGTACCATTAAGAAAAATGATATTATGGTTGAAATTAAAGCTTTTGCTACTATTCGCAGTCATTTAAAGTTAATAATGATCAAATTATAAAAATGCTAAACTTTTATAAAAATTATTTAAATGATAAAATTAATACTGTTTAACATTATGTATAGTTACACATTCTAAAAACACTGGTTCAAGATAATGATTTTAAAAGATAATATTTAGGGTGCAATTGCAGGTATTAAGTACACTAAGCTACATAAATATATTTATTCTAATAAAATTCACAAAGCATTCCATATTTTTAAAATGTCAAAATTAAAACCTCTAGTTAGTTAAAATCATTGCTTTGAAAATAGTAATTGTGGTTAAGTTGAAATTAATAAGATAAATAAACTGAAATTGCCTATTCCTAGAGAAAAAAAATCATTGGCTTAGATCAAATTTTATGGAATTTTATACTCATAGAAACTAGGAAAATTTTAAGTGTTTTCAGAAATGCCATAAGAAATGTTCAATGATGATAATAAAATATTTTCTGAGGATTCATTAATACTTATGGAAAAATTATATAATATGAAAATACCTGTAATAGCACATTTATATTTCCTACATAAATAATAAGATCATTTACTATTCATGAGTAATGACATAACTTGTATTGTTATAGGTGTTAAACATGTATGAGTAATATTTTGTCAGTTATATTGGAATATTTTTTGGTTGATTCTATTATGTATGCTTTTAAAGTAAATTCAATCTTGTCACGACAGGTTTGGCACATCGTGACACTTTGTTAGGAAAGGGGAGTTGAGAAAAAGAAATTTCTTTGTAATTTAAATTTTGTTACTCACAGAATGTCTTCCGAAATATTTATAATACCTTTCTGATAGCAGGTTCTTTTTAATGTTTAAAGAAGGCATGCTATTACTGTGACTGGCAGAAAGAACAAGAATTTTAGAGTGTCAGTAAAACATGTCTTTATCTAATGGTCTTGCCACTTACAAATTGTGATCTTGTACAAGTTATTCACTCTCTTTGAGACTCAGTTTTTCACCTATAAAATGGAGAGAATACTACTTTTGCCTCCCAAGGTAAAGAATCTGGGATATAGTAGTTGCTCAATCAATTGAGTCATTCCAGCAATGTTTATTGTGTGCCTACTATGCACTAAGTATCAGTCTCAGTTCTGGAGAATATGAATAAAACAAAGCTCTTGTCTTCAAGAGGCTTAGTCTAGTAGAGGTGATGACTCCCTTACCCAATTACTACCTTTTCTTAGAAAGCATGCTTTGAAATGGAATAAACTATAGGCATAAATATTACAGATGAAATTAACTGATTTTTCCATTTGAACTTCTAGTAAATTATCTTTTATTTGTATGTCAGAGAGAAGAGAGCAAGGGGACAATAATAATGCATACTTACAGGGTAGTTACAAGGATTAAAAGGATAACGTATGTAAAACACCTGGCTCACACTAAAGGTTAGATTCATTCTCTTCCCCTTTCATCATTTATCATATTCTTAGTAACATATCAAAATTAATTTGGGGTCTGCATGCAATATGGCTCTTAGGAGAGCCACAGTGGTAATTGAAGTGCTTGGATATAGAAGCTATGAGAAAAATCCAAGGAAAACAAGTGGGATTTGCAAGCAACTGGCAGCAAAATGCCAGTGAATCTTTGGAAGGAAGAGGAACCAGCTCATCTTTGGATCTAATGGGCTGAGAGGCTCCGCAGAATGTTAAGTGGGGTCTCTGCTGAAGTAATTCAGAATATGAAAAATAGAAAAAATATATCTGAGGAGTAATCTGCTCCACAAAAGGATTACACATTGAGAGATGTTTCTCAGCTACTTTCGTGATGGGACATTTTTAAGAATATAAGAAACTTTGCTCCAGGAAAATGTGCCACCATACAAAATTTTGCATGAAATTCCACAAGGTCCCTAGATCTCAGCTCAAGAATCTATGAAAAGCACATATTTTTCATGGAAAAAAATAATGTGGGAAGATTGACTTAAACCACAGCGTTAGGATTATGGATAGACCAAGAAGATGTATTTGATAACAAAAGCTATTACATGCCACAGTGGGATACCAACTGCATCACAGTTCATACAAACAGGAAAGAAAAATTCTCATTTTTCTGGAACTTTTTGAAAATAAGAGAATTTGGGCAACTTTCAGTTCCTTCAATTTGTGATGTATTAAAGTTAAAAAACAATGTCTGTAACATGTCTTATTAGCCTGAACATAAAAATGTCGTTATTATAACTGTATCAAAATAACATTTCACTGACTAATCCTCTACTCTCCTCTGATTCCTTTAGGACATTTTTAGGGCTAAGTTGTGCTCTCAAACACAGTTCTTTACGGCAGTAATCTCCGAATTTTTAAAATAATACCTTTCAGGCAAACATCTTGAGCACAGATCCCTCTTATACGAATATTAATCCATTTAGAAATTATATATATGTACTGTATTAATATTCCATGTAAATTATTAAATATATGCAAAAAGGAATTAAGAAAGATGAAATAAATGAAATGTAATTAGATATTCTAAAATTTTCTTTCCCAATGGATCAATCTTGCATACCTTTGAGGTTTATGCAACCCACTTTGGAGACCACTACACAATATCCTTCCTTAGGCAAATGTATTTTGCTAGCACACAAGAAAAATAATAGGAGCTTTTTACTGGGGTGGGGTGATAGAGAGGAAATTAACTGGAGTTTGCGTTGTAGTTCATTTTTCTGACTAGTTACTTCAGTGAGAAAAGAGCACTAGGGAGTCAGGAGATAAAAGTATCAGTCCAGTTCTGGAATTTGGGCAATTCCTTTACTTCTTTAAATCTGTTTCCTCCTTTCTGTAATGGATGATGACTCTCTTGAATAGCTGGGTGTGTTGCTGTGGTGACGAGAGGGACTATATGATAAGGGGCACATTCTTTTGAGCTGTCACATAGGGTGGATATCACCCTGGGCTCTTAATGTCCTGTCACTCTGTTCCTTGCAATAACCCTCTTCTGGGTAGAGATTATTTTATCCACTTCACAGATGAGTGAGTTGGGGCTCACAGAAGTTATGTTCAAGGTTCCTCATCCATTAGTTCTAATTCCATTTCTTTGTTTTTTTTTTTTTTTTTTTTTTTTTTTGAGACAGAGTCTCGCTTTGTTGCCCAAGTTAGAGTGAGTGCTGTGGCGTCAGCCTAGCTCACAGAAACCTCAAACTCCCGGATTTGAGCGATCCTCCTGCCTCAACTTCCGGAATAGCAGGGACTACAGGAATGCACCACAATGCCTGGCTAATTTTTTCTCTATATATTAGTTGGCCAATTAATTTATTTCTATTTATAGTAGAGATGGGGTCTTGCTCTTGCTCAGGCTGGTTTCGAACTCCTGACCTCAAGCAATCTGCCCACCTCGGCCTCCCAGAGTGCTAGGATTACAGGTGTGAGCCACCGTGCCTGGTCCTAATTCCATTTCATTGTAGGCTTCCAAAGGCTAGAAATGTCTACTCACTAGACATTTTATCACATTGAGTGCATCAGTAAGCTCAGTATACTTTCAAAATCATTTGTTTAATTGGATGAAAATGAGACAGTGACCTTAAATTCTAAATGCAACGTCATCTAATGATTATGAAGCTAGCAATAAATTCAGAAGGACCTGTCTGAAGCTGTTGTATAGTTAAGGTTTTTTGCTTTAATAAGTAGTACACTCTAAAATAACAATAAAGAGTATAGTATAGTAAATACATATACCAGTAACATAGTTGCCTATTATCATTATAAACATAGTGTGCATAGTTGTATGTGCAATACTTTTATATGACTGGCAGAGCAGTAGGTTTGTTTGCACTAGCTTTATCACAAGCATGCGAGTAATGCCTTATGCTATGTGATAGGAATTTTTCAGGTCCATTGCAATCTTACGGGATGACTGTAGTACATGTGGTCTGTCATTGACCAAAACATCGTTATGGGGTGCATGACTGTTCATCTTTACCTCAAACATTACACTACAATTAATTTGAGAAGAATCAGCTTTCAGAGGATGGTGGTCGCCACCCCAGGAGTGGGACCTGTCCCATCCCCTCCTCTTAGAATTTGCGTTGCAACCAATAAAGGCCATTTCTACCATAAAAAGAAAAACAAAAGAAGAATCATTTATAAAGTTAAGTCATAAAAATTTGGTGAATTACCCAAGATGAAGAAGAACCTTATACCACATAAGCAATTTAAAAAGTTACAAAGGAAGGTAGCAATAGGAGAATAGTTGCATATATACTAATGAATAATGCTTATGATTTCTTTCCTACAGGAGTATAAACATTATTGGACAGAGTTGAGAGGAACTACACTTTTCTTTTATACTGACAAAAAAAGTACAATAGTAAGTAGTTGAACATGTTCAGCTGATTCAAATTGTTCCCAATGTATCCTTGTCACATAGTCTGGTTTTCAATTTGGAACTTTTGCCATCCAAGAATAAAGATGCTCTATTAAAACCAATTCAAATACAAAAATTTAAATCTGTGAGGGCATCAATTATGATAACCAATGGTAAAATTTCCTGGGCAACTCAGAAGAAGGTATTAATTCATGCTTTTTTACTTTGCATTCTTTTCTTTCTGATCTTGATAATGAAAACTTAGTGAAAAATTAAAAATTTTAACTAGACATCTGTATATAAGTTGCTTAATACTAAGTGATAGCTTCAATTTCTCCCACTTTTTATCTTGCTGTAGCATGCAGTTATAATCTGAAAGGAACAAGATGATCTCCAGAGCATCATAACATACAAACTCACAATTAAACTTTTCTAAAAAGACAAAAACATGCTCCACAAAGCATGACTTCTAAGAGCTTAACCATAAGAATAACAATAAAGAGATTCTGAGACTTATGTATTCGTATTAATTTCAAATTCTGATTGTGTGGTTCATTTTTTTCCAGAAATAAGATGTAGTATCTTAGTGGCCAATGCTTACCTACCTTGGAATGCTATAATTATAAGAGATTTTATAAGCCAGTAACATATTTCAATATGAACATTGTCTACCCTACGTATAGTAGCCCATACTTCTTAGAACATCATTATTAGATGCCTAGATCTAATGAGGAAAACAGGAAAAGAGCCTGTGTGATATATTCCACTTCTAGGCATTTCAGCACCGTTAGTGGTGAACTAGGCGAAAACCATTCTTAAAGAAATAAACTAAAACAAACTTAAAATGGTCTTCTTTCACCAGGGTTCTAGATAGACAAGATTTACACAAGGGTGTTTTCAAATACCATACTAAATGCTTAGAAATTAATTTCTCTGTTGTGCATTCCAATTTCCCACTGATGTCAATAAATATAAAAGCCCCTGGTCTAAACTTTGTATAATGCATAGTAAATGAGAGGCAGGAGTCACTACAGCTTAGCATTGAGAGCCTGGTCTCTTTGCACAGACTGGCCTGCGTGTTTATCCTGGCCCTGCCATTTTTGCCTGTGGGATTTTGGGCTGGTTACCTGACTTCTCTGTGTCTCAGTATATCAGACAGGGAACTGGTAGAAAACATATGACATCTCAACTCTGGCAATTTGAAGAACATTTAATAAAAGTTCAATAAATACTCAAAGCAGTTGACAGGGTGCAGGAAAATCACAAAAGATAGCACAGCCCCTGATGCTAATAATTACAGTCTCCTCTTGTCACGCCGAGGAGTGACAAGAAAGAGTGGGAGAGTAGTCAGGAGAATTGTGTGGAGGAGACTGTCTTGAGAGGAGTATGATCTTTGATTGAGGGAGTACCTGCATAGGGTAATAAATACCCAACCTCCCTTTCCTCACTCTTCTGGTCTCCTACCAGTGTTCTCTGGTGGTCCAATCCAACAGGCAGTCAAAGGACAAGGGAGCCCCTCAATGTTGTCCATCTGGGTCCCTATCCTGGTGTGATGGTGGGTGATAAAGGAATAAAAATGACGCTAGAAGAGCAAACAGAAGATCTCTAACACACTCAGTCTTCAAATCTCTAAAATTCAGGTAAAAATAGCAGCCCATCTCATAAGGCTAGCAAAAGAATTAAATGAGGATAGTATATGCAAGCTGGCACATGGTAAGCATTCAAGCATTAAAGTATCTCATTTAATTTTCACAACTCCACAGAATGGGTACAATTTTAATCCCCATTTTATAGATGGGAATAGTCAAGTTTAAGGATTAAGAAATTGTACAAGATCAGACAGCTGATAAAAGGGGTACCATCCGGGTCTTGCTCCTGAGCCAGCCGTCTTAATCATTACACCACGAAGAGATTATTATAACTAAATGCTACAGAATTGCCCCTTTACCAATTGTGTTAAAAGAGGATGTAGACTTTGGGGAACTTTTTTGGGTGATAGTCTCAGGAGAAAGTACTGTGTCTCAATGTAAGAAGAAGCTTGCGAATAGACAGAGTGTTAGGATGAGTCCATGTTGTTAGAGATGTTTGAGCACAGACTACATAGAAAGCATAGCCTGCAGGACACTCAAATCAGACAGCAGCTAGGTAACCGAGATGACTTAAGCTTAATAAACACTATAAAAAACAAAAAGATATGATTTTCTTCCTCTAATCAACAGATCAGCTTACTGCACTCTATCTAACTCAGCCACCTCTCTCCTCTGCGCACAACAAAACTCACTGAGCTTGATGTAGACACTCTATCAGAAAATATCTTGTTTAATTTTAAATTCGGTCTTCCTTCCGTCGCTTCTTTTTTTTCAAATATTTATTTATTTTTAAATTGACATATAAGATTGTATTTTATCATGCCAAACATGATGTTTGGAGTATATATACATTGTGGAATGATTAGATTTGAAAATAAATAAGCCAATCTAAACTCACCTTCAACCTTATCAATATAGAAATAGCTCTGGAAAAAATTTATTGACCTATTGTTAAGCTCTATCTTATTCAGAAAAATAAAATAGACTTACAAGAATACAGTAAAGTAAGTTATATTAGGCATAACTGAGAAGAAAATAAAAGGAGATAAAAAGAAGACAAGAATGAGACTAATTTAGAAAAATTATATATATATACCATAAAAACTCTACTACGCTTAGTAGAGGTGGTTCTTTCTAATATTAGAGGGCAAGTCTGGCTTATGGCATATAGACCAGTCCATATGGACTAATTGCTCATGAGAATACTTATTGTACTTGGACAAGATAGAAATTTCTTTTAAAAATCCTCATAACCAGTGGCGTGTGGTAAATGTTGAGCATGGCTTTCTGGAAAAAATGTATATATGAATATATGTACATAAACTTATAAATATTACTGATATAAAAAATGTGTAGCACACAATTTAAAAATGTATAATATATATATTTTTGAGACAGGGTTTTGCTCTGGCTAGAGTGCGGTGGTGTCATCATAGCTCACTGCAACCTCAAACTCCTGGGCTCAAGCAATCCTCTTACCTGAGCCTATTGAGTATCTGGGACTACAAGTGTAAACCACCATGCCCAGATAATTTTTCTATTTTTTGTAGAGATGAGGTCTCTCTCTTGCTCAGGCTGGTCTCGAACTCCTGACCTCAAGTAAGCCTACTGTCTCAGCCTCTAAAAGTGCTAAGATTACAGGCATGAGCCATTGCACCTGGCCTACAATATTCTTTATGGTAATTTCCATATAGCAGATTGATTTTCACAGAATGTGTTCCTTGATTTTTCCTTGATTTTGTCTTGATAGCCAACTCTCATTGTAATTCCATTATGATTTGACAAATGGAGATGTATTCCAATCTATTCTTTCCCTAATAAATTTATTGGCATTAAATATATTTGACATGAATGTTGACTGACATTTTCATTTACGTTAATGAGTAAAAGAAAAGTAAAATGATGATTATGTATTTCAGAACTTGCACTCTTTTTTTCTTTGAGACAGAGTCTTACTTTGTTGCCCAGGCTAGAATGAGTGCCCTGGCGTCAGCCTAGCTCACAGCAACCTCAAACTCCTGGGCTCAAGTGATCCTGCTGCCTCAGCCTCCCTAGTAGCTGGACTACAGGCATGCGCCACCATGCCCGGCTAATTTTTTCTATATATATTAGTTGGCCAATTAATTCTTTCTATTTATAGTAAAGACGGGGTCTCACTCTTGCTCAGGCTGGTTTCGAACTCCTGACCTCGAGCAATCCACTCACCTTGGCCTCCCAGAGTGCTAGGATTACAGGCGTGAGCCACCGCGCCTGGCCCAGAACTTGTATTCTTAAAGTCAATAGATAATAGTGTTTGAAATCTAAAAGAATATTTTGTCAATTTTTGTTCTATTTACAGTGAAACAGCTTCAGACACAACAAACTTTGAAGTTTCATCTATATGATTAACATTTTTCCTTTTCTTTCTTAAGTTTAGACATGGGGCCACAATCTATGGCCCTTCGGCCATATCTGATCTGTGGTCTGATTTTGTTCAGTCTTTGAGCTAAGAATGGCTTCTCTCATTTTTAAAATGTTGTAAAGAAAATAACAAAAACAAAGAAGAATTTGCAAGACAGATTATATGTATGGGTAAAGTATTTACTATTTGGCTTTTTGCAGAAAAAAAGAGCTGCCCCTGGAACAATCAACAAAAGATTGATTGATCCAGCCCTGATTAACAAGGTTTATCAATTTCCATGGTGTAAATACTCCCACCATGGCGTGAAGTCTGCCAATGCTGAACGATGGAGGTTGTCGCTCCTTGAACAAAGTCATTGAGCTTTGAAGAAGATTACAGTAGGACACCACTATTTGGTATTTTCACAATGCAGAAACAAAGACGTAAATAACTTCAAGAGCATAGAGAATAGTCAAATGAACTAATATAATTAGGAAGTAACACATTTTAAGTTTTAATTACTTTTTAAATATATAATCTAGGTTGGACATGGTGGCTCACGCCTGTAATCCTAGCACTCTGGGAGGCCGAGGTGGGCGGATTGCTTAAGGTCAGGAGTTCGAAACCAGCCTGAGCAAGAGCGAGACCCCCTCTACTAAAAATAGAAAGAAATTAATTGACCAACTAAAAATAGATATACAAAAAAATTAGCCAGGCATGGTGGCACATGCCTGTAGTCCCAGCTACTTGGGAGGCTGAGCCAGGAGATTGAGGTTGCTGTGAGCTAGGTGATGCCACAGCACTCACTCTAGCCTGAGCAACAAAGTGAGACTCTGTCTCAAAAAAATAAATAAATAAATAAATAAATAAATAAATATGTAATCTACTTACTGGTATGTTTATATAATTCAATTTCTAATAATGGCTGTGTTAAACACCTACATCAAAATACCTGAAAATTTAACAATTGGCTTTAGCAATCCTGCATGAGTCAGGACTAGCACGCCACCACTAATACATTTCCAGATGCCCTCTGGGATTAGGAAAACCAGGGTATCATGCAAAGTACAACCAGTTGACAAGAAGATATTACTTATTTCTTTCCTACTAGGACTGTTTGTTACCATGAAATAATCTAATGAGATTTTCCTTTATCTTTGCAGTACGTTGACAAATTAGACATAATAGACCTCACCCGCCTTACTGACCAGAGCTCAGCTGAAAAGAATTGTGCAAAATTCACCCTTGTTTTACCAAAAGAGGAAGTGCAACTGAAGGTGAGTGAGGAGAAAGAGTCTGTAAAAGGGTTGTGGTTATAAATAACATTTACTCAGTGGCTCAAGTAAAGAGGAATTAAAAGAGAGGCTAAGTCGTAGACTTTGTTAACATCCCTTGCTTGCTTTTGGCCAGGAACCAGTTTTCTGATTTGGGACCATGATGACTTGTTTAGTACACAAGCACCATGAAACCATACACTTCTGTCCTCTGACAAAGTCAGGGATCCCACCTGGTGTTTTTAAAAAGACTGTTCTTGAAGCAGCACTCAAGGTGAACCAAGTCGAGTCAACCAACAACTACCAGTAATAACATAAAGAGAACAACTTGCAATTGAACAAAATGCAATCGGAGACTTTCCCAGGAAATTACTGATTGACTTTGAAAGCACTGGTCCTTCAAACTTTAGCGTAATAGGAATCACCTGTACTTAGGCAATCGGGGCCCCACTGCAGAATGTACATTTTAGGTAAGCTCTCTAGATAATTCGAGGATGCAGTGGTTCAGAGCACAGGATTAGAGTCAGGTGCCTAGGTTTGAATTTGAGCTGTTTTATTCATTAGAGATGTGAGTGCAGGCAAGTTATTTATCCTCCTTGTAGTCTTTGTTTCTCCACCCAGAAGTAAGTCTTTGCTCAGATGTAACCCCCTTGCTGAGGCCTACCTGGACCACTTTAATAAAAAATGGCAATGCTTTTCTCCTCCCCTACCTGTAATCACACTCCCAATCTCTCTCATCTTGTTATACATTTTTTCTACTTATTTCCTTCTGACACTATAAAATTTACTACTAGGTTTATTATTTATTGTTTCTTGCTAGAACCTAAACTCCATGAGAACAAGGATTTTTGTTTTGTTCCCTGATATAAACCAGTATCTAGAATAACACCTAGCACATGAAGTTACTCAATAAATATGTTAAATGAACAAATTTGTATAGCAAATAAACAAAAACTAATAGTACCTTTTGCCAAGTAGCCATGAAGATGAAATCAATGAATACCTGTGAAGGGCTTAGAACAAACAGTAGCTGCCATTATAAGCACTCAAAAGTTGCTGGTTAATATTAGTATTATTAATGGTAGTAATAGCATTTATTTATTTTTATTTTTTTTAAAACAGAACGTGATTATATTTCAATACATACCTTCTGTACAAACAAAAAATAAAATGCCACAGTAAAATAAACAATAGTAATTAGAGCTAAGAATTGGAAGTTTCTACATTGGTTGCCCCAAACTTAAAGCCAGTCAATATTAAATACTAATGAAGTGAGTAACTGCGAATTGACATACTGCAAAAATAAATTTGCTAACATTTTTCTGTTAAGTAAATTTGTACAATTTTATTTAAGTAAGCAAACAGATTAAAGCTAAATACTTGTCTTCTGACAAAATAGTATTGAAATATTTCATAATAAATACAAATTGATAAATTATAAACAAAAGAAAGTAAATTATTTTCTCCTTTTTTCAACAATGTGGCTTCAATAGAAGAATATGCATTTTGTCGATCTTCCTGGGTTTTGATAGCATACATATTTCACGTTATAAAATAATTATATGAAATTCTAAAGTTATTTGAAGTTAATAAAAGTATCACTGCTCATATTCACTCACCGATTTCCTTCTTTGTTTTTATCTGCTTTTGCCTTCAACTTTAGACGGAGAACACAGAAGGTGGGGAAGAATGGAGAGGCTTCATTCTTACGGTAACAGAGGTAAGAAGGTCCTTACTTTTGAGTGATTCTTTTTATTCAACCAATATTTGTTGAACACCTACTATGAACCATGCAGAGTGAAAGTGACTGAAGTAATGAAAAAATATTGATCTAAACCCTTGCACTTACTCCTGAAAGTTATATCAGGTGGTGGAGATGGAGCAATAAAGTAAACAAGTAAACAAACAAGGTCATTTCACATTGTGATAGTTGTTACGAAGAAAATTAAACAATGCAACGTATTAGGGAGATGAATGTTATGAATAACATAGATAATATGAAAAGGAAAGACCATCAAAATGAAAACTCACATTTAAACATTTGCTTAGTGAGTCTTAAAACAAAGGGATGCTTATCTTTTCAACTCTGTGGCATCTTATCAGAGGCAAATAGTAAGATCTACTGCTTAGAGTTAACTGTTAAACAGCATATAACATCATTATTTTATTTTTTTATTTTATTTTATTTTATTTTATTTTATTTTATTTGAGACAGAGTCTCGCTGTGTTTCCCAGGCTAGAGTGAGTGCCCTGGCGTCAGCCTAGCTCACAGCAACCTCAAACTCCTGGGCTCAAGCGATCCTCCTGCCTCAGCTCCCGAGTAGCTGGACTATAAGCATGCGCCACCATGCCCGGCTAATTTTTTTTATATAATATATAATAGTTGGCCATTAATTTCTTTCTATTTATAGTAGAGACGGGCTCGCTCTTGCTCAGGCTGGTTTTGAATCTGACCTTGAGCAATCCCCGCCTCGGCCTCCCAGAGTGCTAGGATTACAGGCGTGAGCCACCTCGCCCGGCCAACATTCATTATTTTAAATAAACCCATGGTAGCAACTGTCTTGGAAACATGAGGTATTTTGATAATCAGCCCCCAAAAGAGCACCATGTTCTCTAATACTTTTAGAAGATATGAAATTTTCCTATGTTTATTAGGGCCAGTTAAAAACAGCCTATCCAAAGCTAATTTCTAAGTAAAGTCATATATGAAATGACTACTGCACTTCACCAAGATGATGGATACTTTCTTTATCTCAGCCAATAACAGGTAAAAAGTTGGAGGTTCAACTACCATGTAGAGAAGTCATAGAGGCCAGAAAAGTGGGCCAGTTAAAGGTGTGAAGGTCATGTTAACTTTTGTGGAGTAGGCAAAGAAACTCTTTGGGGGATTGCACTCTCTCCCTCTGGTGTAAAAAAGCACCGTTGTGTGGCATGGTGCTTCTTATACTGGGGTACGAGTGTTCCAAGGGTATGTGAGTAAGTGTCAAGAAGTACCCTAAAACCCAGCAAAAACTCGTTGCATCTTCCAGTATGCTAATTATACTTGAAGTTTTGGCCAAACATTTTGAGTTTTTTTCCTTGAGGTAAGGGTCAAAAGCATTATTTTAATATTCCAACATGCATACATATATTACAGAATATAAAATAAACTTCATGTGAATTTTCAAGAGAAGATGAATAGCCTCAAATGTTGTGGTCTGCCAGTGTTTGTGCTATGGTCCCAGCTCACTGTGTGTGAACATGTACACTGTGTTGCTGTTAGGAAAACTCTAGTACGGAAGTGTGTGAAGCACCGACTGTATGCAATTGGAAGAGCTGAGATGTTGTTTTCTAATCAAACCCAAGTTTGAGTCCTGAACTTACTAGCTATGTCACCTTGGACTAGTTATTTAATCATTCTGAGCCTCGGTTTTTTTTATTTGTAAAGTTGGGATAACAGTATCTTGTAGCATTGCTGTGAGGATTTACAATAACACATGTATCCTGCTTGAGCTGTAATAGTCAATAAGGAGTAGCTGTTTCATTAGATATTTTCCCCATTACTTAGCCATCTAGAAGAAGCTCTCTAAACCTTTTTGACTGTGCATCTCATTAGTAAATTTTATTTAAATTTCATATGTATATATATACATAATAAACATAAAAAATAGAATTAAGGAAATAGAAACATAATAGAAAGTGAAGTTTTGATGTTTTCTTCCCATACCCTAGTGGACTTTTTTTTACCTCCTGGAAAGCATGCATCCCATTTGGAAATAAGATGATAATCACACAGGGCGCTCCACATACGGACTAGCTAGCATCACCTAGAGAAAAATATTCTACCATCAGACTACACCTTCCAAGAGCACACAGCTGGTTTAATGAGGTCTAAATTGGGGTATGGATAAATTCAGAACATTTGTAGGTAACTCAATCCAAAATACAGGGGGTCCCCAAAGTCACCATACATAGCAAAAATGGGAAACTATAACTAAATATACCTTTATTTACAAAATATTCATTACAAAATTTTTCTATCATATGGAGACTTTTGGGACACGTGTACATCTCTAGAAAAGGTAACAACAAAACCAACAAAGTAGAGAAGTATCATAATTCTAATGTGTGATTGAATGAAACACACACACAAACACAAAATACAGACCTCTGTTTGCTGACCCTCAGTCATCTAATGAATAGTTCCATCTCGATGCTATGTTGCCATGTGGCTGGGGAGTTTATTCCAGGTTACTCATGAGAATGTGAGCCACCTCAGTGGTGCTCTGGAACTTCCCTGGCCTTGATAAACTAGTGAGCTCAGAGTGCAAAATGAGAGGTTTTTTGCTACTTGAATTAGCTTGTAGTGCACAGTGGGTATACTTTGCTTTGGGGACAGACAAAAAGGAAGATTTCTTGAAAGAAGGATGGGCACCAGTGTAGGTTCTAGTTGGTTTAGAGGCAGTTCTAAGACACCCCTGTAGACCAAGATCTTCTATTCGTGATTCCACCCATCCATCTCTGTCTGGTAACTGAAGCTCCGTAAGACCAGAACAGGGTCATCTTTACTAAAATCAGTAAGTTATTGGGCTGGCTTTCTCATCTGCCCACTGTTTTCATTGGTTTCAGCTGTCAGTTCCCCAACATGTGTCACTCCTACCCGGGCAAGTAATTAGACTGCATGAAGTCCTCGAGAGAGAAAAGAAAAGGAGGATTGAGACAGAGCAGCTGCCAAGTACGTCTGTGGAGAAACAGAAGGAACCAACTGAAGATTATGTGGATGTACTAACCCCTATGCCAGCGTAAGTGCACAATGAGCTCTAGTTTATTCACTTGATTGCTAAGACTAATTTCTAATTATCAAGGAGAGTTAGCTACTTGACCTTATTAAACTAGGGACAATAAGTGGGCTTGGGGATAAACTGCATCTCATGCCACATTTCCTCTTCTATGTCATGATCAACAAAATGCAAATTTCAACCAGCCCTCTTACCACACAGGAAATCCTCTTCCGCCTGTATCTTTAGATCAAATACTTCTTGGCAGCTCCTCCCTCGAATATTCTTACGAAGGAGGAAAAGATATTTTTTCACCATGAAAATACTGATGATGATTTTCATTCATATATACTTATATATATATATAATATATAGACACACCACACCACACACATATAAAATAGACTTTATTCTATAAGGCGATCTTTAGATCATGGCAAAATTTACGGTCGCATTTCCCTCCTTCCCCACATATGCCTAGCTTCCTCTAGTATAACGTCCCCCACCACGGTGGCACTTTGTTACAGCTGATGAACTAAACACTGATGCACCATTAACACACAGGGTCCATAGTTTATCTCAGGGTTACTCTCTGGTGTCATGCATGGGTTTGGACGAATGTACAATGACATGTATCAACCATTATATCAACAGGTCAGTTTCATTGCACTAAAAGTCCACTGATTTCTTTCTTTTTTCTCTCCCTGGCAATCACTGATATGATTGACTGTTGTCTAACAGAAAAACATACCAAAATTTAAATACCTGGCAATGTTTCATTCAATTGACCATCAGTGAGTAGTCATTGAGCTTACGCTTTGAGAAGGCCCCTGTCGCCATGTAGGTGTTGTTGGAAAAATGAAGAGGCACAGAACATGTTAAATTCAAGCAAGATTCTATATTTGTCTTATATTATTGAAAATATTGTGAGCCCTTTCCCCCTGGAATCTTGGTGTTCTCATCAATGAAATTTGTCCTGATACCATCTTTGCCATCAGATTCTGATGCATATTCTATCTGTACTAGAATCGCTGAAAACTGCCAACTATCACTTTTAGCTGAACAAACCAGTGACACTTGATGACTGATAGGTTAAGTCACCCACCTCCTGTTTCTCCCCCATAAAACAAGTGTTATATATTTATTACGGATACATAAAAAGATTAAAATAATTCCTTGTCCCATCACTTGGAGATATTTGCTGTTAATATTTTGGTGTACTGCATTCCTGCCAGATTCTTTTTCTATGACTATGTATTTTCTTGACTATAATATACAGATGGACCCTGACTTACAATGGTTCAACTTATGATTCTTCAACTTTACAAATAGTGTAGAAGTGCTATGCATTCGGTAGAAACCATACTTTGAGTACCCATTAGATTCTGTTTCCACTTTCAGTACACTATTTAATAAATCGCATGAGAGTATTAAACCATTTTATTATAAAATGGCTTTGTATTAGATGATTTTGCCTAACTGTAAGTGTTCTTAGCATGTATACGGTAGGCTAGGCTAAGCTATGATGTTCAGTAGGTTAGTTGTATTAAATGCATTTTTGCCTTATGATATTTTCAATTTCTGATGGGTTTATCGGGACATAAAGCATCATAAGTCAAGATGTATCTGTATTTTATAAAATTAAGTGTTTATTTTTTAATTTTATGCATAAAATACCGCCAATGCCATAGAAGGACATATTATACCAAAGGAATGACTGAGTTCAGATGTGTCCTTAAATACCAGTTTTTAAAAACAGAGACCATACAAGAGGAGCATTTAGATTATTTTGTATTCCTGAAAGGAAATCGCCAACAAAGTTTTATTCAAGATCTTATTTATAGGCTGGGCAAGGTGACTAACGCCTGTAATCTAGCACTCTGGGAGGCCGAGGCGTGAGGATTGCTCAAGGTCAGGAGTTCAAAACCAGCCTGAGCAAGAACAAGACCCCGTCTCTATTATAAATAGAAAGAAATTAATTGGCCAACTAATATATCTAGAAAAATTAGCCGGGCATGGTGGCGCATGCCTGTAGTCCCAGCTACTCGGGAGGCTGAGGCAGGAGGATCGCTTGAGCCCAGGAGTTGGAGGTTGCTGTGAGCTAGGCTGACGCCACGGCACTCACTCTAGGCCTGGGCAACAGAGTGAGACTCTGTCTCAAAAAAAACCAAAAAACAAAGATCTTATTTATAAACTGAAACTGGGGATACAGTGTTAATTTTTTTCTTATATTTTCAAATGGTATTGGTGATTATGTACTCATCAGTAGATAACTTTTGTTTAAAGAGGCTTCAGAGGAATGCTGGAAGAAGTGCCTTAAGCATTAGCATAACGCATAGTGGCACAGGCTTATCAGTATCTTTCATTATATTAATAATTATGTAATTATTACTGTAATAATAAAGCTGGACATTTTAAGAAATGTTAACAATTGCAGTTCTCAGCATTGGTAGCATTCTTTCAAGTAATGATCTTCATCAGTTGAAAAGAGCATTTTTGTTTTTTATCTCACCTCTGTAGATGTTTCTATACAGTGTCCCGGAAAGAAGCAACCGAGATGCTTGAGAAGAACCCTGCCCTGGGAAACATGATCTTGAGGCCTGGCAGTGACAGTAGAAACTACTCCATCACTATCCGGGAGGAGATAGAGTACGTTAAATTTTCAAATGTATGAAATTGCTGTTAAAGGCATGATATCTCTTTCGATAGCAAAACCATACAAGTTCAGATCATCACCTGCTATGTGTTTTATTGGAGCTAAAAATATGAACATAAGAATAGGGAGGAAATGTTACAAAAGCAGTATTAAATACTGAACCAACACTGATATTTACAGTAAAGAATAAGAAGAATGAGCACATACATTACTTTGGTCCTGGCTATAGTTGTGTTATTCATTCATTCAATTCAACAAATATTTATTGAGCAGCTACTATGTGCCAAGCAACAGCCTAGGCATCGAGGATACAGTGGTACAAAAAACAACATCCCTGGCTTCGGTGAGTTTACCTCCTTGTCAGGAAACATAGACTATAAATAAATAACACAATTTAAAATTTCATATATATGATGATAAGATCTGTCAAGTAAAATTAAGCAGGGTGAGAGAGATGGAAACCCTCAGGGGTGATATAGAGAGTAAATTTTTGTGCTTGCTATTGTTTTAACATGGAGTGGTCAGGGAAGGCCTACTTTATTAACTGACATTTAAACAGAGACCTGAAGGAAGTGAAGGAACAAAGCATGCCAGTATCTGGGGTAAATGCAGTCCCTATCCCCTGAGGCAGAAGAGTGCTTGGCTTGTTCAAGAAAGAGAGGACACTGTGACTGCAGTGGAGTGACCAGGAGAAAAGTGGTAGCAGTTGAGAGTCCAGAAGTAGGGTAGGGGCAGATCACTCAAAGCCCTGGAGGTCACCGTGGGGACAAGGGTTTTACTCTGAATGACATGAGTTGACATAATCTAACTTATTTATAAAAAGGACCACTGGCCACTTAGGAACCTCTTGTCAAGGTTAAAAATTTCCTTCCGGTAAAATGTTTTACCTTTGATAAAGTCAGTAGCACTTAGCATGCAAAAGATGGTTTTTCTCTGTAACCCTGGTGGTTGGATCTTTCTTTTTAAGGTCTCTCCTAGCTTTCAGACTGTACGAAACTTACATTTCCATACAGATCCTGGCTTCATTAACACGTTCACAACAGATAATGTAATGAAAATATAGAAGTTTGTCCTAGATGGAAATATTTAATAAATGATTATCTTTAATATAAAAGCATAAACAGAACTTTGATTCTTGAATTTGCTATTATCTGTGGGGATAAGATTATTCTATTAACTTTTTTACTATAACGTGTCTATCAAGGAATCTACCAATCCATCCCATAAATATCTCTAATTCTAAATAGATTGACTATGAAGACATTAATGCTGAATAAAGGCAGTAAAAATAAAATACTCTCTTGCAGGACAAAATTTAAATTATGGCATTATGACTGCATTGCTAGTATGAGCCAGGCCCTAATAAACTTCATTCACTTGCCTATTACTCTGTACAGATACTTGTCTTTGTACCTTAGCCATGAGCACTGAACAGACTGCAAGAGCATTGCATGGCAAATCAGGTCATGGTTCTGCGTGTAAGGAAATGTGTGTGTGTATTGTGTCTGTGTTTTTATTCTCTGAGGAATAGTGTTTTTTGCTACAGATGCGGTTTGTGACCAAACGCAATGAAGTTCTATACTTAGGATATGAATTCAATGTCACAATTTTTACTTATATTTTTACTGTTTTTAATCTATATTTATCTCCAACTCTTGGCCTCAAGCTATCTTCTCATCTTAGCTGGGAAATCCCAGCTGGGTTACAGGTGCGAACCAGCCCACACCCAGCAAGCTGTATTTTAACCTCATAAAAGAGAGTGTGGCAAAGGAGTTCATATCAACGTTGCATAATTCTAATTTTAAGTAAGCTCACTTTCAGTTTGAATTCATATGGAAATTCATGCTTTTGTCACCTGACGGTCATAAAAACTTATCACATTTCATAAAACTAATCACCTTCCCTCACCAAAGCTCATATTTGGAAATCAAGAAGTGAGGTAGAATGGTCAAAATGAAGCAGTCTAACACTGGAGTCAGTATTTGTTTATTTAGGCTTTGGGGAATAGCTTATCCTGGCTGAGTGGCTGAGAAAAATGTTAATTGTATTGCACAAGTTTTCCTTACAAGCCAAATACATCTATGATGTTAGGTACTGTTATATGTGTTTTCTTAATGCCTCAAAACATGCCTTTTAGAATGTCTGCATTCATTAATAACATCTTCTAACAGGTCACTTAATCTTAAAGGGTAGCAATTGTAGAGAGTATTAGAATTTCAGCTTGTTATACTGCAGAGCTTGATGTATAGAATTTGGTAGAAACTTAGGCTTTTTTTTTTTTTTTTAAATCTGTGTTTCCCACATAATCAATTCATTCTCTTACAGGTTATAGGAGAAATGTTCAGCCAACAAGCTAGATGAGTGTATCTGGCAAAACACTAGTTGAAAAGGACGAGTTGGTTTACAAAGCAGAACTTAAAAATAAAATTACCTCCATCTATTAACAGAGCAGCTGTGGAGGGGACGGCTACTGTTACCAGGAATAAACAAAAGTCATTCAATGCCATATTACCAGGTGACTCCTCTCATGATGTAGAATATCATCTACTTTTACCCAGCCCAGTGGTGTGCAAATTCCTAAGACAGAAAGCCAGTCTTATGACAGACTTTATGTTTTGGTTTTGTTTTCTTGTGACTAGGTGCCAAGCTAGTACTAGAGACACTTGGAAAAGCCATTTTCTATGGAGGCAATAGAAATTATTTACCTAAAATTCATTCATTTCTTTGCAAAAATTGAGGTCAGAAGCTAAGAACAAGCACTTATAACCACTTTAAAGGGCATACGTTAAAAAAAAACAAAAGAAAACAAAACTGGCTACTTCTTTTTTTGAGGTCATAATCAGAAAGCCTTAAAATAGCAAATTTTGTCAATCTTGTTTTTTCATCTATCTTTAATCCTTTGGAAAAGCAAAACAAAACAAAATATGAAAGAAAAACAAAAGGTCTAATAAGAGAGTCAAAGCTTAAGCAACTTCAACAGGATTTTTTTCCGCATCACTTTTTGTTTCAGAATTTAGTCCTGTTAACAAAAAGTTCCAAGACCTTTGCCACTTTTCTTCCCACAGCTTTGCCATAAATGATGATGATGACATCAGTAACAACAATCATTGTTCTCCCTTTCAGGTTACTTGTCGGCCCTGCTTTGAGTACTGGCCAACATTTCCTTCAGGAAGAACAAAAAATTTGAGACAGTAGTATTTCTCCATGTTTAACAAATAAAAGAGGATGAGATTCACAGAAACTACTCAATTAAAACAATAAATTTTAAAAGTAGTAAAAAATAGTTATCAATTAGTGAGTGCTTAAAGGTGTCAGACACTGTACTAAGCTTAGGCTTTGGAATCATTAACTCATAACAGCAAGGCATCAGCATGTCCATTTTACAGATGAAGAAACGGAGGCTCAGAGAACCTACATGACAGAACCAGAAATTTTTTTTTGTAATTTCTTAAAATTTTTTTATTTTTAATTATTATGGGTACATAATAGTTGCATATCTTTACACGGTACGTGTGATATTTTGATACAGACATGCAATGTGAATGAATCGAATCAGGGTAATTGGGGTATCCATCATTCAGGCATTTAACATTTCTTTGTGTTATCAACATTTCTATTCCACTCTTTTATTGTAAAGTACACCCTAACTTATTGTTTATTATAGTCACTTTGTTGTGCTATCAAATATTGTTCATTCTATTTAACTATCTAACTATATTTTTACACCCATTAACCAACCCCACTTTATGCCCCCCTCCCCTTTCCCCTTCCCAACCTCTGGTAACCATCATTCTCCTGTCTCCATGAGATCAATTGTTATTTTAATATTTAGCTCCCATATATGAGTAAGAACACACAAGGTTTGTCTTTCTGTAGCTGGCTTATTTCACTTAACATAATGTTCTCTAGTTCCATCCATGTTGTTACAAATGGCAGATTTCATTCTTTTTTGTGACTATATAATATACCATTGCGTGCATGGACCACAATTTCTTCGTGCATGTACCACATTCATTCATCTGCTGACACTTAGGTTGGTTCCATATGTTGGCTATTGTGAATAGTGCTGCAATAAACATGGGAGTGCAGCTATCTTTTTGATATACTGAATTCCCCTCCTTTGAATATATACCCAGCAGTGGGATTTCTGGGTCATATGTAGTTCTGTTTTTAGATTTTTGAGGAACCTCCATACTGTTCTCCATAGTGGTTACACCAATTTCCATTCCCATCAGTGGTGCATGAGGAGGATTCCACATCCTTGGTAGCATTCATTATTGCCTATCTTTTTGATAAAAGCCTTTGTAACCAGGGTGAGATGATATCTTATTGGAGTTTTGATTTACATTTCTCTGATCATGAATGATGTTGAGCATTTTTGCATATACATACTGTTGGTTAGTTATATGTTTTTGTTTGAGTAAGGTCTATTCAGAGCCTTTGACCATTTTTTAAATCAGATTATTTGAAATTTTCTTATCCAGTTGTTGGAACTCCTTATATATACTAGTTATTAATTAATCCCTTGTTAAATGGATGGTTTGCAAATATTTTCTCCGATTCTCTGGGTTGTTTCTTCACTTAGTTGATTGTTTGCTGTGCAGAAGCTTTCTAGCTTGATGTGATTCCATTTCTCCAACTTTGCGTTTGTTGTCTGTGCTTTGGGAATATTACTCAAGAAGTCTGTGCCCAGACCCATGTCCTGAAGTGTTTCCCAATGTTTTCTTTTAGTAGTTTCATAGTTTCAAGTCCTAGATTTAAATCTTTAATTCATTTTGATTTGATTTCTGGATATGATGAGAGATAAATGTCTAGTAATCTTCTACATATGGATTTCCAGTTTTCCCAGCACCATTTATTGAAGAGGCTGTCCCTTCCCCACTGTATTAGAACCAGAATTTGAACAAATATTTTTAACCAGTCTTCCAAATAGCAATTATTTATTTCATAGGAATTCTAATTGAAATTGGAGTGTTTTCAAAAGTAACTGTCTGATTACAAAGATCTTTTCGTGATAGAAGCAAAGATAAAGCCAGAGCCAACCACTCCAAAAGGGCATTTGTAAGACTTTCTTTGTCCCATAATATTTCCTTCACCTGTCTATAAATGACTCCTGGAGTTTCAGCATTAAGGAATACTTTCTTTTAGGAAGGGAAAGTGTTGGTTAGGTTTTACTCCATGTTTTGAAAGTAGGCCACTGGAATTAATTTATTAGCTGTTTTCCATTGTGAGATATATTAAGAAGATATCTGTATAAAATGAGGAAAATGTCCCCTGAATAGAAGACTTCGGTGTGGTTCAGTCCTAGAGGAATGTGGACTGGAAATGAAGAGAGAAGTGATAAAAAAAAAAAAAAAAAGGACAATGGAAAAGGCCCTGTAGTCAAGCTTAACCTGATGAACAATTTTGCTTTAGATAGCTTCTCTACACAGAACAAAAGTTGAATTAGTTTGTTGTTCAAGCAAATGACAATGTAATAAATGCTATTAACTTATCAACATTAGAAAAAGTTTTGGTTCTAACACTCTTGCCATATGAACGAAGGGAATTCAACACAAACATATGACTTATGATCTCAATATAAATTCATTTAGTCCTAGCAGATAGCACTGGGAGATGGGCTCCTAATATTATATTTTTAAATTCAGTTTCATAAATATTTATTGTGTAATGCTGGAATACAAAGATGAATAGAAAATGCTTCTTGTTCAAAAGCAGTTCATAATCAATAAAATACTGTGTGTTTAGAGTGGTAATAATTTAGAGTGCTATGTAACTGTAGAAGAGGAAGACATTAAGTTTCATCTACTGTGCTTACATTCCCATCTATGTGTTCACATAGTGCCGAACACCTAGAATTTTCTGTATCTCTAAGTCAGCCCTGAAGTTAGCAGATATCCAGGGTAATACATGAGCTATCAGGAACAGCTGTTGAGGTCTATCTGGTTGGATTAGTGATGAGGTAAAGTAGAAGGCAATTTGCTTTCAATAATTCTTTCCACTTCTCTTTTAATATAGAGAATATATATTTGATTTATAAATGCTTATATCCTTGCTTATATCCTATGCTTAAATCCTTTTACACAGGATTTTATAATGTTGTCTACTTTGTAAGTTACCAACATTTGAAGAAATTATTTCTACCTAAAAGATTTTTAGTTCCTTTTTTCTCTATTCTTTTTCATTCACCCACTCAATGACCCAGATTTCCTGTATCCTAGTGTATAACCCCCCAAAAAGGGACATAGCAAACCATGTAAATAGAACAACAAAACCACCAGGGATTTCTTGCCAACCGAACTATAGTCATGGGAACATAGGTGGGTGATATTTACAGTTACTTACTACACAGGTGATATTTTATACTTACTTTAGTTTGCCTTGTCCAATCCTGTCATCAAATGAAGATTAACCATTTGTTTCATTTCAGCATGCCGAGAATCAAGCACTACAAAGTGATGAGCATAGGAAAAAACTACACTATTGAACTGGAAAAACCTGTAAGTAGTTATTTTTTTGTTGATGCAATTTCTCTCGATTCCTCCCAAACCTGCCTTACAGAATGCAAAGAGATGGAAAAGCAGGCTTCTTCCCCAGGGACCTAGTACTGGCAAAAAATAGCCAAGTTAAAGAGGCCTGAAGGTGGCAGATATACAGGGTAAGAAGTGAGATGCCAGAACAGGTGGGTAAGGCAGAATAAAAGATAATCTGCTTCTAAAAATTCTTTCCACGTTTCTTTCTTTGCAAGTCTTATCAAAATAAGTATTTCAGGGAGAGAAAGATATATTAAACATCTGTTTTACATGCTCCAGTTACAATGTGTGTATTTGAGTGTGTTTACTTCTAATAGGAGGAAATCTGTGAATTCCTAGTCCACTAATACCTCCCATGCAGAAGTTCAGAAATCCCCTTAATAGAAACATTCCAGCGAAGAAAGGGTTTCTTTCTTTCTTTGTCTTCAAGTCCTCTCCTACCCTAGCTGACTTACCATGGGCCAATGATGTAACTACCAGATACCATGTTAGGCACAGAGCTGAGTCCTTTACACATCTTATCTAATTTAATCATCATTATTGCTCTGAGGTAGATATTGTGATGCCTATTATCCAGGTAAGAAAACTGGTATTTACACTGGTCTCAACCAATGAAGAAAGTGTTGATGTGGCCTACATTCCAGGGTGTTGAAAAAGGGGAATGTAACGCTGCGATTTTAAGCTGCAGAATGAGAAGACTGGGCCAGGAAAGTTGTCTCTGAGTGTTACTTATATAGAACTGGTGGGTCTTACAGATATTTTTATTTCTCTAAAATTGAGCTCCTAGTTCCTCTGCTTCTCCAGGTTTATTGTGTAGATTAAATTTAAAAAAGGGATGTGGTTGGATTGCTCATATTTTCACCATAGCCCTTAGAGAGCAAGGCAGCTGCTGATTCATACAGCCCGCTTACACCTGTGCCATGAATGCTTCCCAGAGATTCTCAGATCCATGCCTGACCAGGCATTTTGTTGTTGTTGTTGTTCTTTTTTTGAGATAGTCTCACTCTGTTGCCAGGGTTAGAGTACAGTGGCATCATCATAGCTCACTGCAACCTCAAACTCCTGGGCTCAAGTGATCCTCCTGCCTCCCAAGCAGCTGGGCCTATAGGTGTACACCATCACACACAGCGAATTTTTAAAATATTTTTGTAGAGATGAGGTCTTGCTGTTGTCCAGGCTGTTCTCAAGCTCCTGGCCTCAAGTGATCCTCCCAACGTTGGCCTCCCGAAGTGCTAGGCTTACAGGTGTGAGCCACCAGGCCCACCCCTGAGTAGGCTTTTTAAATGAAGTTCTAATGAAGGAGGCAAAGAACTAGAGTGTTAGAGAATAATCCAAGTGACTAGAAGTCATGCTCAGGGAAGAATAATGTGTCTTTGCAACTGGTGAACTGGGCCTCATTTCTGTCATTAGCCCATATAGTCCACAGTATAAAGAAAACTAACAGTCTAGATTATCCTTTCACCCTCCCCAACCCTATCCCTCAACCCCTCAATCAGGTTGTATTTTTTGTTTTTAATTATTTTTTTTAAAAGACAGAGGTCTCTGGCCAGGTGCAGTGGCTCACTCCTGTAATCCTAGCACTCTGGGAGGCCGAGGCGGGAGGATTGCTCAAGGTCAGGAGTTCGAACCCAGCCTCAGCAACAGCGAGACCCTGTCTCTACTAAAAATAGAAAGAAATTAATTGGCCAACTAATATATATATAGAAAAAATTAGCCGGGCATAATGGCGCATGCCTGTAGTCCCAGCTACTCGGGAGGCTGAGGCAGGAGGATTGCTTGAGCCCAGGAGTTTGAGGTTGCTGTGAGCTAAGCTGATGCCACGGCACTCACTCTAGCCCGGGCAACAGAGTGAGACTCTGTCTCAAAAAAAAAATTAATTAAAAAAAAAAAAAAAGAACCATTTGATTAGGAAGCTGCTGCCCTTCCTTGTTCCTCTACTGAAATTCAAATTTCAGGAAGAAACCATTTTCTGACTTAACTTGAGTCACCTTCTTATGCCTTAATTAAGGGAGAACAAGATGCCTACTTATTTCCAATGGATAAAGGGTAATTACTTAACAGACAATTGACACATGGTCAAGTAGAAAGGAGAAGACACATAGATAAGTAAAACTATGGTCATTCAGTAAGTCATTGAAGTGAGGTACTGACATGATGTTTTGGAGGTCAGGAAATATACAGTGATATCCATTAAATTCCAATTGAGCTTTCTCTTACTCTCTCTTTATACAGGTCACACTCCCAAACCTTTTCAGCGTCATTGATTATTTTATGAAGGAGACTCGAGGGAATTTAAGACCATTTATATATTCAACTGATGAAAATCTTGGTATGTTCTTCACATCATAGCTGTATTAAGGACAATAAAACAAAGCCCCCAAAACCCTACATATGATTTGTAATACCAGCCAGGTAGGAAATGTAGTTCAGCCTTTATGTTTATCCATTTGGAAATCATTTTGTCACTGAGTCTGTGAAAATAAGGGAGTACCAACATACACTGTGAATCCAGTATGGATCTATTCTAAAGAATGAAAAGCCCTGAGACACGCATGTATTGTGACTATTAACTTCATGCCATCATTCTACTCGGCTTTATCAAACAAGTTCAGAGATAGGAGAAAACCATAATCAAATGGATTAATGAGAACCAAACAAGGGATTTAAAGGGATGATCTGTCAAAAATGTTAGACGCTCCAGACAGGATAAAATAAATGTGGATTAAGAAGAAACCACAGGAACTGGTCATGAGGCAATAGATGATCTGAGAGAGAGAAATTTTATTCCACTATAAAGACAGAAGTCAGATTGCAGGATAACAAGGAATGAGTGGGTAGGGAGGAACTACAGATAAAGATTGTAGTTAGGACATTCTACAGAATCTGTGGGCCCTGTGTTCATAAATCAAGAGTTCCAGAAGCAGTTATGATGGGCCATTAAACCACGTTTGGGGCCGTGTGCAACTGCACAGTTCACATGCCCACGAAACTGACCCCGTTTACAGTCCAATTCTTGGCAGAGCAGGCCAGGCTGCATGCAATAGTTTCTATCCTTTGCAACGATTCCTCCCACACATAGTCACGTGGCAGACTGTAAGCAGGAGAGAGAAAAATATCTCCAGCTTGTTGGATTACAGTTATCAAAACAAGTCCCTGTTCCTACAGATTATGAGGGAAAACAACTTCATTGGGCAGCCTGCATCAGGGACCTATCTAGAAAGTCACACTACTTAATATGTCAGCAAGTTTAAAAGTCCAAATTCTTAAAACATCATTATGAATCTTATGATGCCAAATAACCACAACAAAATCCCCAAAAACTCAAGAGTCTGAAGGAACTGCAAAAAATCATCGAGTAGTGTCTTATCTGTATAGGAGTCACCTACACACTCCATACAGGAAACATCTCTTAAGATGTGACCATTCAGCTTGTTTGAAAATTTCTGATGTGAGGGGGTTCGCTGATTTTTGAAGGAAACAGCACAGTTCACTTCTGGACAGTTCTCATATTAGAGAACTTCCTTAATATTATTAAGAACTTCCTTAATATTGAGTCTGAAACATTTCTTCAACTTCTACATAATAATCTAGTTTGTGGCTTTTAAACAATATAGCTTTTTTATTTTTATTTATCTATTTTTTAAGAGACAAGAGTCTCGCTATGTTGCCCAAGCTGGTCTCAAACTCCTGAGCTCGAGCAATTTTCCTGCCTCGGCCTCCCAAGTAGCTGGGACTAGAGGTGCACTGCACCGCACCCAGCCCAGTACAGGTTTTGTAAGAGCTCATCAAGTATTTTTAAATGGCCACAATGTCTGCTCTTGGTTTTTTTGCTCTCCATCATCTAAATGATTGGTACTTGCAGCTCTCTCACTGTCATCTTTGACCTTCTCTGTACATTGTCTAATTTCTAAACATCTCTTTTAAAATATAACAAGGGATGAACACATTGCTGCAGATAGGACCAACATAATACATTACCTGGGCATTATACAGGAAAATACCACCTAATAGGATTTTCTGGGAATAAGCTATTATCTATCCCCCACCACCCTGAGAACAAAGAACTTCCTGTAACATCTCTAAAAAAGTTTTCTTTTTTTTTGAGACAGAGTCTCACTCTGTTGCCTGGGCTAGAGTGCTGTGGCATCAGCCTAGCTCACAGCAACCTCAAACGCCTGGGCTCAAGCGATTTTTCTGCCTCAGCCTCCCGAGTAGCTAGGGCTACAGGCATGCGCCACCATGCCCGGCTAATTCCATGTTTACCCAAAAGTAAGACCTACCCATAAAAATAAGCCCTAGCAGGATTTCTAAGCATTTGCACAATATAAACCCTACCCCGAAAATAAGACCTAGTGATGGGCGTGGCTACGCAGGGCATCTGCACAACCCACGCATTTCCTTGATGAGCGGTAAAGACGATGGGAGCCCTATTGCTAGACATGAGAGATTGGGTTCTAATGATTCCAATGGTTCTAAAGGAAACAGAGTCGCAAGAAATTCAGGATGAAATTTGGGGTTTGGAGAGTTATGATGATGTTCCAGAAAAAGACGACTTAACTATATTTGAATAAATGTAGATTGTTGTATCATACTTAAAAAAAAAAGCCCTGGGGTATCTTCTTGAGGAAAAATAAATATAAGACCCTGTCTTATTTTTGGGGAAACATGGGTTTTTTCTATTTTTGGTAGAGACGGGGTCTTACTCTTGCTCAGGCTGGTCTGGAACTCCTGAGCTCAAATCATCCGCCTGCGTCAGCCTCCCAGAGTGCTAGGATTACAGGCGTGAGCCACCATGCCTGGCCTGGATCATTTTTTTAAAGCAAATAATCATTCTAATTAAATTGAACCAGTTCTGTCTTACTTTCTGTGGGAACCCATTCCAATATTAGTGCAGTTTTCAGACTCTTTGTTATGCTCTTTTGGGTCTGTACATCTCAGGAATGTTAGCCTGGGAGTGGTTTTTATCTTAGTTTAGTTTTCAAAGCCTTTAATATCTGTTTTGCGCATGCATAGCTCAGAGGTAAGCCTGGAACTTGTGTCACTTCACACACAGACCTAGGAATGCTTTTTTTAGCTCTCATCTCTCCAAGATTTCCTGCACACTAACTACTAAGGGTCTGTTTTCCTGGTTTTCTAGCTAGAAAAGTGGGGCTTCTTGAGTGCTGTAGCCACCTGTGGTGTCATGTAGTCTTGTGAGACTGGGGCTGACAAATCTCTCTAAAAAAGTTAGAGAAAAGAAGGAGAAAAAATTAATTCCAACTCTCCTTACTGCCTCAAGCTCATTTTCTACTGGTTTCTCTGGCCAGCGGATTAAATGTTCTTGGGGTTTCAGATGCCCATGCTGCTACTGCCACTGTCACTGTGCAGCACCTTGGCTAGGGGCCGCCCTCAGGGCAGGGTCAGGAAAGAGAAAAACAGACAGACAGAAAGAAAATAGGCTGTTGATGTAAAATGTCAATGATTTTAGGAACAGCCAGCCAGATTGCTATTGCTATGTGATCAGGAACAAATTACTCAACCTCCCTGCATTTCATATTCTTTGCTATAAGGATTGGGGAATGGAGCAGATGGAACAGGGAGGGGCACGTAGAGGAAGAATTCAAATAATCAGAACATCTTCTGTAGAGTGACGTATTTTCTTTCAAAAGCAGAAAGATGGAAAAGTGAACTGGAAAATAAGTGAGAATAGAATAGGATTTTCTAAGAAAAGCTACAAAAAAGTTAAAACTTATCTTGACAAATAATGCTGATGTTCTAAGGAAACTTTGTAAAACCCTAAAATGGTTTCAGGAATTTGGACTCATGGCTGGCTGGGGCGCAATGAGACTGCTAGGCCATGTTGCTTTGCCTTGAGTTGTAGAACACATGAAGGGTTCAAATCTGGAGATCTGGAAAAAGTTAATGTAGTTCACAATAAAATACTATCTAAAAGAAAACGAGATTTTCTTTAATCTTAAAACTATAAAACTTAAAACTTTCTTTAATCTTTAAACTATATTAACATTTAGTTTTCTCTCTATTATCAGAAGGCAGGAACATAATGCACTTTGAGAGGCTGAGGGGGTAGGATCACTTGAACTCAGGAGTTTGAGATCGGCCTGGGTAACATACCACTGATATTCCACACACAAGCAAGAAAATCAACTCACACTGAAAATAAACAAAACCTTGTTCTCTGATAGTGTTTCTTTAATTAATCAAGCTTTTCCACCCACAATTTCTAGGCCAAGAACTCAACATGGAGGGCAGAAATGAGAAGCTGGAAGAAAAATCCACACATCGCATGAAATAAAATGTGAAAAGTACTCCTTCACGTATCTTGGTAATTTTTATTTTCAAAGGAAGATCTTACTTTTAGAGAATTACCTCTATACTCCTGATCCTGATGACCAAGTCAGTCACCTGGACACCAAATAAAACACTGTAGCATACAATTTCATTATCTTATCAGAATGAAATCAATTCACTGGGAAACCATAGACTATGGCTGTGGGGGTAACTCCTAGTACATGCATTCCCATGAACTGATAAAAGTTGAAAACATAGTACTTTCTAGATGGAGTTTTTATTTTCCTAGGCTTCAATTAAATACATTTCCCCTATACAATTTCCACAGCAGATTCTCTAGTTTTCCTAAATCCTACCAATTCCAAAAAAAACCCCACTAGGTTTTGGTTGAAATCTGATTTGACCAATTTATCAAATATAAGTCATTTTAATAATCAAGTTAGAAGCCAGAGACATGAAATATACTTGGAGAAGCCCTTTTCCAACAGAAATAGTCTATGCCCTATTTTTTGTTACTGGAAATAAATGAAATTTATTTATTCCATGTTTTTCTCTGATAACATCTTCTTGCTAGCTCAAAATCAACTCATAACTCCTTACAAAGATGGCAAAAGGCTGTATCATCACCTTCTTTCACAAGTATAGCACAGTCTGAGCCTGATTATAAATACCTAGAGTTCCTTAAAAATACTAATCCCTTAGCCCCAGACTACATTTACTGAATCAAAATCTCAGAGATATTTTTAAAAGTTCTCTATTATTTTAATTATTATTATTTTTTTTTAGAGACAGGGTGTCTGTTGTCCAGGCTGGAATGCAGTGGCGTGATCATAGCTCATTGCAGCCTTGAACTCCTGGGGTCAAGAGATCCTCCTGCCTAAGCTTCCAGAGTAGCTAGGACTACAAGTGCATGCCACCATGCTTGGCTTGGGATACTTTTTCATAAATATTTTTTCTTCATTAAAAAAACTTCTAAATTGATTTTGAGAACCACTTAAGATCTACCATGGTATTAAATTATCTGTGTAGCAATATATGCAAAATCAAGTAAGGTTTCTTTTAAATGAAGAGACAGTGACAATCAGGAATCTTAGATATGATGAGAGTTGGGATATAAAGCCTGAGCATTAATATACGTATTTATTGTAATCTACTGAATACTTATATATATCATTGTGTTAACTGACGTGAAAATTACAAAAGCAGCACATATAGATGTTATTCTCAAGGGTCTTATAATTGAGTTGTTCCAAATATAGGTAAGAAACGAGAGAATAAAGTCCAATTTCTTACCATCTCATATGTTGAGTGAATTCTTGTATTCTACAAGAAAACAGTGGTTAATATGGAAAGCTTTAAAAAATTAGACTCCTGAAGTTGGTGAGGCAATGTAGTTGACTGCAATAAACTGAAAAGGAATGAACAAGGCAAAGAGAAATCAAAGCCCAGGGCCTGACCAAAGTCCTGAGTCTCCTAGGAGACCAACAACACATTTAGCTAGAAGAAACAATGAGAAACAGAGCCACAAAAACCTCAGAAATTTAAACTGGCAGACAAAGACCATAAAATGACCTTGTAGTTTAAAGAATAGACAGAAAATATCTGCAGGGGATAAAAAGCTATAAAAAATTATCTAGCAGTTTTAAAAAAGAGAACCAAACAGAACTTCTAAGACTGAAAAATAAAACCTTAACAATGAATGGATATAACAGTAAGTAGATGAGAAACAGATGAAGAGGTTAGTAAACTGAAATACGGGTTAGAAAAAATTATACAGAATGAAGCATGAAAAGAAAAAACAATTGGAAAATATAAAAGAGAGGGTGACAAATACTGAAGACAGAATATGAAGGTCTGCCATGTTTAATGAGAATCCTCATAGAAGAAAAGACAATGGGGAAGAAGCGATATATAAGGAGTAATATCTGACAATTTCTCAGAACCACTGAAAGACATAAATCCAGAGTCAAGGAGCTCAACAATTCCCAAGCAAGATTAATCAAAAGGAAAAAGAAATCCATACCCAGACACATATAATTAAATTGACAAAACCAAAGCAAACAAAGAAATTTCTTTAAAGGTGCAATATTCAGCCTCACAACTGACTCAACAGCAACAAGGGAAGTCATATGAGAGTGGAAAAATACCTCCATTGCGCTGAAAAATAATAAAGGCCAAATTAGAATTCTGTATTTAGCAAAATTATCTTTGCAGAATGACGGCAAAATACACATATGTCCAGAAAACAAATTATGAGCAAGTATGCCACTGGTAGACTCTCACAAAATAAAATTCTAAAAAAAGTATTTTAGTTAGAAATTTATCCCAGACAGTAAATGTGTTAGTCCACTCAGGCTGCTGTAACAAAATCCCATAAACTGTGTGGCTTATAAGCAACAAAAATTTATTTCTCACAGTTCTGAAGGTTGGAAAGTCCAAGATGCAGGCACTGGCAGATTCCATGTCTGGTGAGGGTCCACACTCTGGCTTAAAGATGGTACCTTCTCACTGGGTCCTCAGATGGTAGGGGCGTGTGTGACTCAGGCCTCTTTAGTAAGTGCTCTACTCCCATGACTTAATCCCCTCCCAAAGGCCCCACTTCCAAATTACTTTATATCACCTTGTAGTTAGAATTTCAATCTATGAATTTTGTGGAGACACAAACGTTCAGACCATAGCAGTAAGCCTTAGATAAAAAAATAATAATAAAGAGCAAAGAAAGTGATATGTGTATAAATTAGTCTTAGAATTAAAAGGCATTAAAATACATGACAACAGAATTAAAATACATAACAGAAATAAAATACATGACAATCGTATTTAAGTTAGGAATTAGAGAGTCATTCTAGTTATTATGTCTACACAATAACTCACTCCAAAACTTAGTTGCATAAACAATCCATGTTCAAGGATTCAGTGGGTCAGGAATTTGGCACAGCTCAACACAGCAAGAATGGCTTGTCTCTGCTCCAGCAAGTCTAGGGCCTGGAATCATCTGGAAGCTTGCTTACTCACATGTCTGACACCTGATACTGGCTGCAGGGTGGTAGCCTGTTTTTCTCCATGTGGACTAGTTTGAGCTTCCTCACAAAATGGTGTCTGGGTTCCAAGGGTGAGCTTTCCAAAAGAAAGGGCAAGCAAGAGAGTGAGAGAGAGCCAAGAAAGCCACATAGCCTTTATGATCTAACCTGGGAGGTCTCAAAGAAGGTTAGAAGGTGGCAAGCTTCTAGAAGGTGGCAAGAGTAAGTGGTATTGAAAATATTGCTGTGGCCATTTTCAGAAAATATAATCTGCCAAAAGGTAAAGAAAATGATTACTTTAAGTCTTTCTTAACCTGAATATGTATGATATAATACAGAGAAATAATTCAAAGATATAAACTAGTAAAAAGAAAAAAAATGTGTTATAGCTTAGGAAAACAAACAATATCATTTATTTTAAGAAGAATTTAACATAAGAAATTGGCATACAAGTGTTGGGGGGACAGAAAATGTCCACAAGGTACACAATTATGAATATTAAAGGTAAGAAGGTAGGATTATTAGAACTTAGAAGGTCAAAAGAGATACCCTGCAAAATGCCAGAGAAAAGCTAGAGACTGGGAACCAACCACAGCTGCTAGAAGAACCACTGCTGACTATATTGGGAGGCAAATGGGAAGGGGAAAAGTCTCCTCTCCCTATTTCCAGCATTCTAGTCTTCTTGTAGTGACCCTTATTTGTGGAACCAAAAGGAAGCCAGAAGGCAAAGGAGAAATGGAGTTTGCAAAGTTTCAGCCACAGGTCCCGGAATACAGACAATCAACTAATAACTGGCATAATTAGAATAACAAAATAAGTAGATACTAATTTAAAAAGGCAGGAAAATAGAGAAAAAGAACCACAAAACAGGCTAGACAAAAAAGAAAACAGCCCCCCCCAATAAAATGGCAGAAATAACTCTATCAGTAATTATATTAAATGTAAATGGCCTAAGAGTCACAGTTAAAAGACAAAGATTATCAGATGAGATTTAAAAAAAAGCCAGGTATGGTGGAGCACGCCTATAGTCTCAACTAAATAAAACAAACAAAACCCAAACACTAAAATCCTAACTTTATGATGTTTACTAGACACACATTTAAAATACAAGAATAGAGAAAGACTGAAAGTAAATGGAAGGAAGAAGTTATTTCATGAAAATATCAACCAAGAGCAAGCTGGAATACATACAGAGAAAACAAATTTTAAGGCAAAACATATTACAGAGATGCACTTCATAGTGATATAGTATAATTCATCATGAAATTATAGCAAGTTTAAAAATGTACATGCACCAAATAATTTAGCCTCAAAACATATAAAACAGAAAAAAGATGCAAATCAAATTATCATAGTTGTGATTTCAGTAACTGACAGAATACGTAGATGAAAAATCAATAAGGATATAGAAGATTTAAATAACACAATTAACAGACTTGATCTAATAGGTACATGCACCATACTGCCCCTAATGATTACTGAATGTGTTTTCAAATGCATAAAAATTACTACAAGAATTATCATATTCTGCACCATAAAGTGAGTCTCAAGTAATTTCAAAGAATGAAAATCAGAAGGATTTTTTTCTGGTTAAAATTCAACTAAATTACAAATCAAAATTTAAAAAGATTATCAGAAAACCTCCATGTTTGGAATAAAGATATGCTCTCCTTAAAAGGGGTTGAAGAGGAAATCCTGATGAAAATCAGAAAATACTTTAAATATATATCAAAACTTGTGGAATATGGCTACAATAGTAGAGTATAATATAATTATATTACAGTAGTACAGATATAACTTTTAAATGCATGTTTTAGAAACAAGAGACAAATTGAAAATGAATGAGGTAACCCATCTCAAAAAGTTATAAAAAAGAACAGTAAAAAAAAAACAAACAGAAGTTATATTGGTAAGAGCAGAAATAAAAGAAATAAGAAACATACAATAGAGAGGGGATAGAGAAAACTGAAATTTGGATTTTAGAAAAGACTAAACTGTCCCTATTTGAAGTTAAGGTTATGTAGTAAATCCAAAAAAATATGCAAATAATTTACAAGAATCATTTGAGAGTATAGTGGGTTTCTAGACACAAAAGCAATACAAATAAATGAACTACATTTTACACATAAAAATCAACAGGAAATAATGTGGACTAAGTAATTTGGATTAACATTCTAACTAGAGAATATTTAGAAAAGCTGGATAAAAAATATTTTTAAAAAGTATATGGCAAGGTAACAGAGAGCTGCTAAGTTAGTGAATAATTACCAAGCTAATATCTAGGAGAAGACAGAAATTCAGAAAGGTGAATCCTTCATTTGGACCACCATGTGCTGGAAACATTTACATATTTCCAAGAAGCTACTGAGAAGCTGAATAGAGATAAGGGACTAAGTATGCAAAGGTAGAGGCTAGGGCCAGTGAAGAGGTGAGGGCCCTTGATAACTCTAACCCACGCTTTGGAACCCTAAAGGGTTGCACCCTAGGAGTAAGGTGAAGACAGACCACTAGCAGAGCCCGTAGATCAGCTTTTAGTCACAAAGATAGCCTAGAAAAACCTCAATTTCTGAAACGAGATCAAAATGACCCTAAATTACTAGTGTCCAGGTACCCTAACAGAAGCAAAAAATTCTCTGGAGGATGAAAATATCATCCTAGGCATCAAATTATTTTAAGTTTGCAAGTACAATATTGGCAAATAATTAAAGATAACCACATACAAAGGAAATAAGACAATAAGAATGAAGACTAAAAGAAATAAAAGAAAAAAACAAATCTGCAGGAAGGTTTTAGATTGTGGAATTATTATACGTTATACACACAGACTATAAAATAATTATGCTTTTCATGATCAAGTAGATAAGAGATTAAAAATTTCGGCAAGACAATTCAATTGGAAACTGCAAAAGTAACAGATTTGCATGTTTGCAATTAGAAAATTGAGAACTGAAAATACAAAAGGCTAAGAATAACCAAGATACTAACAGAATTATAAGTTGGAAGGACCTGTTTTACCAAATATCAAGAATATTTCAGCTATGGTGACAAAGACAGTATATTAGCACAGGGATAGAAAAGAAGGAAGAAAAAATTCAGAAAAAGAGACATATAGAAATATGGATATGATACATGACTTTGGTGGCACTGCAGAAAAGATAGAAAAAAATCAGACTTTTCAGTAAATTGTGGTGAGGAACCCCTAGCATACAAAAACTTATATGTGAAAGGTAAGACTAAAGCTTTTAGAAGACAACATAGAAGAGTATCTTCATAACACTAGGGTATGGAATGATTTCTTAAAACTCACAAAAAACTCTAACCATAAAACAAAAGATTAATACTTTTCAGTTCCTAACCACTAATAAATTCTTTTACCTAAGAACATCATAAAGAGAGGGAGAGCCAAGCTACAGAACGGGAGAAGATACTAGCAACTATATAGCCAATAAAGAACAGGATTTATAAACGTCTTTTATGAATCAACAAATAAAAAGATGTCCAATACAATAAAAAAATAATGTGAAAGACCTGAGAGGACACTTCACAAAAGAAAAAGTTGAAGTGCCCAGTAAACTTATGAAAAGGTGATCAACTTCAATGGTAATTAGGGAATGACAGAGTAAAATTTCAATGAGATACAACTGCATATCCACCAGACTGGCAAAATAATAAAATGTCAATACCAGTGTTGACCAAAATGTGGAGACATAGGACATTTCTAACACTTAGAAAAAATAACATAATCATCCAATAAAACTTAAGATATGAATGTCCCATATATGACCAAGCAATTCTAGTCCTAGATATATATCTTATTTGTACCAGGGGATATATAAAATAAAATAATGTTCATTGTGGAACTGTAACTGCCCCAAACTAAAAAACATCCCAATTGTCCAGTCAATAGAATGAACAAATTGTGGTATATTAATACAAAGGTAAATTATACACCAATGATGAAGAATGAAGTATAGTTGCAACCAACATGGATGAATCACACGTTGAATGAAAGAAGAAGCCACAAAAGAATGAAGTATGATCTTTTTACATAAAATTCAAAATCAAGCAAACTATTATTTAGGTTTACGTATATAGGTGGTAACACTATAAAAATGAGAGAGCTACCATAAAAGGTAGGACAGTTATAATTACCAAGGGATGTGTGGGGAAGCTGGTTGTGACTGGGAAGGGACTACATGGGGAGTTTCTGGACTGCTGTCAGTGTTCTATTAACTTGTCTGTGGTTATATAAATACTTAAACATTATTCTCTAAACTGCATATTTATATTTTATGTACTCCTCTGAATATATATTTTTGAACATATATTTCTTAATTAAAAAAAAACAAAACTAAGATGTAGAAAGAGAAAAATGAACATAGATTGTCAATTGGTACTCTTATCCCCAAGATTTCAACTTTCTGATTTTTGTTTTTTAATCTGTGAAAAGCAAAAAAATCATTAAACCCATACCCAGAGATTGTATACTAAATGATTACTTATAATCACAATGAATTTATTCATTATGTTCATTATAGTTGAAAAAATTAGGTAAAGACATTTCTTCCTGAAGATCTCAAGATAACAATTTTTGTTGTTTTCATTTTACTAATTATAAAATGATTCTAAATATATTTATAGTTGACTTTTTAATGTTTTGTCACTATTACCACCAGTGTGTGTCATAGCAGCTAAAAAACAAAAAAAAGGGTACATATTTATTTCCAAATTCTACCTTTGGGACAATTTATTAGGAACTTACAGACAAGTAACGTAACTGTTTTGAACTCTAAAAAGGAAAGGACATTAGAAATATCCAACTAGTAGTCTTGGATTTAACAGATCTAGGTTTTACATGGTCAAGACTATTTCTTTCCAACTGTTTTAAAAGAATTTCCAGGAGCCAAAAGCACTCTGAAGTAATGTCCCTCCACAACTAGTGACTGTTGTATCTCCATGACTGCAAAACTTGAAAATCAGGAAACGCCAAAGCAACATTACTCACAAAATGAATAGTAGAATCAGAATCTCTAGAGTTAACGATGGAACATGATTTACAAAGATATTTTCAAATTTCTTAATTTATTTTTTAATAAGTAAAAAGTTACTCAGTGGAAATGTACAAAATCAAATCATTAATTTCTACATTTGGTATTTCAATCACCAACGGTGATCTCATGGTGCAGTAACTGATAACATAAGAAGAACTGTCATTAGCTTCACTCTGGCTTTCTAGCTTACTAGAACTAAATAAATGATGGCAATAACCACTATCTATAGAAAAAAAAAATTATGACAAAATGATTATAGGTTTAATCACAAAATGAACTTAATCCTTGTTGATTTTGTTCTTACCAGTTAAAGCACTGATGTCTACAAATATGAACTGATAGCATGGTTCTAAATTCAATTCTGAAAAGATGTGGAGACTTATACAAAATATAAGCAAGCTATTTATCATATATGAGGATTGTTCCATGGCTACCTGGAAAATATCAATTACTTTCAAAGAGCACAAAACAAAGTGAAAGTGGAAAAAAGGCTTCTTATACAAAAGTCCTTTTATTAGTTCTATCCTCTAAAGTTCCAAGTCATTGAGTCTTGATATTCCTGGATTCAATTTTAAGTAACATTAATTTTAAGTATTACACTTGGGATCTGCACACCTCGAGAGAGTAGGATATGGTGAACAAAAAATTGCTTATTTCAAAGGTAGCCATTTCTTTAAACTCACCCCGTCCACTTTTCCCCAGCTTCCAATGTATAGAATATCCTTTAATCACACAAATTCACTCTCCACTCCCAAATGTATTTTCCCAACTAGATATTTTTACAAAAGAAACCATGCCCACTGACAAAGCAATTCAAACTATTTGTAAATGGAATAAAAGTACAGAGTATAAAAAGATACGAAATTGAAGCAACACTGATATACATCTGGTTTTTAATTTATCAAAATACCTATTAATGGTCTGAACAGGGGAGTTGAAGGAAAAGAGCTACAGGGAAATGACTTCCTACAATTATAAAATGCCAATTGCTTTAGAATGCATGATAGCCTTAGTAAGGAAAGAATCACTTGCTGTTTTCACTGAGTTTACAGTGTTGAATACTGTTTACATCATTTTAATAAAAGCACTTATATGAACATAGCTCATATCAGAAAACAGAAAGTTTCTCTCAATAAAGATCTAAAAAAATAAATTTTTATCTTTGTCAATTCCCTTTCTGGGGATGGGAAATAAAATAAAATGCTTCCTTTTAAAATAAAAATATTATTATTTTTTTCTGTTCATTAGGTTTCTGGAAGAAAAAAAAATCAAGACCCTACTAGTGATGATTTTTCAATTTCTAAGGATACTCCCCTCAAAAAACCTTTTAGTCTTTTTTTTTTTTTTTTTGAGACAGAGTCTCACTTGGTTGCCCAGGCTAGAGTGAGTACCATGGCGTCAGCCTACTCACAGCAACCTTAAACTCCTGGGCTCAAGCAATCCTCCTGCCTCAGCCTCCCGAGTACCTTGGGACTACAGGTCCCAATGTGCCGGGCATGTGCCACCATGCCCGGCTAATTTTTTCTATATATTTTCAGTCGGCCAATTAATTTCTTTCTAGTTTTAGTAGAAAACTAGAAACTAGGGGTCTCGCACTTGCTCAGGCTGGTTTTGAACTCCTGACCTGGAGCGATCCACCTGCCTCGGCCTCCCAGAGTGCTAGGATTACAGGTGTGAGCCACTGCACCCGGCCCCTTTTAGTCTTATATACTATGACAATCAGGTTTACAGTTTTAAATAAATAAAAACACCACATTAGAAGGCTTACTGAAAAATCAAATGATTAGTTACATTTATCTGTTCACATTCATGGATTATCTAAACAGGTTGTCAGAGTCCATATAATACTGTTAATGTAGAGTCCAAGTTAATGTGTCATCTGACCTACTGCTCATGGCTTACAACAATGATGCTATCGATAAAAATCCTGATTTTTGGGGGACAGTGATATAACAAACTCTCATTACACTAGCAAAGGTAATAGGACAGTAACTCTAACTGCACAATTTTAAAAGTCTATTCTTCATCCACCACTACCATCCATCCTTACCCTTTACACTGGTATTAATTCTCAAAGCCTACTCACTGGACAGGTACAGGGGGCCACTGTTTGTGTAGAAAAATGGGCTTCAAATACTAAACAAACAAAAAAAATTCATAAAATAGGATTAAACTTTTTGGATAGTTCCAATTGTTACTTTCAATTTCTTGATCCTTATCTCCTCTGGTCATAAATATTTTTTCTTTCTTTTTATCCAAACAGGTAAATACACAAATCTGCTTTAAGTCTTATAAGATGGCATTCCAGTTCAAAGTTGCTTGTAATCACAGTCACGTGTGAACCGTTAGACAAGTGTATACTATGCTCCAAAATGTTTTACAATTTTTCAGGGTAGTTCCATATTCTGATGTTTCTCTTAAATTAAGGCTTCATCAAAGAGAAATCCATAATATTATGAGCTGATTTTTTTTAGTTTCTGAATTAAGTATATTCTTTTCAAAATCAAGTAGTTCTGGAGTAACCGTAAGACAACTTCCATTAATCAGTTTCATGAGTGAAGTAGTATCTTACTGGAGGTCCAGGCAAATCTTCATCTCCATCAGTGTCTGGGGCAAATGACACAGTAAGATCCACGTATTTCTTTTCAGTAGAAGGTTTTACAAGTTTATGCATTCTAAGAAAAATAAGCAAGGATGAATATTTTGGTAAATTCTATAAAATAAAAGAATGATTTGCTAACTAATGCCATCCAGAAAATGTGGAATTGTATCTAGACTTTATTTTAAAATTTAGTAATCCACTTGCTTTCAAATATTCAGTTTACTAAAAGTTCTGAACTTAAAATACTCATTTAACTAACAATCAATCTGGACCACTGCTGGTCATAAGAAAGAGTATAGACCATTTATTAAAAGACAAAAAAAAATTCCCATAATATAAGCAATGATTTTTAAAAATTCCTCTTCTATACTCCCTATAAAATTTGGAGGCATCATAAATTCTCAAGCATTTCTCTGTAAAGAGTAAAAAAGCCAGCCAGATTTAAATCTTAAAATGCAAGATAGAAAAACCATAATAAAAGACATTCTTAAGTTTTGCTCTCATATCCAATTGTTTATCCTATTTACTGAAAAACCAATTCATCTTTGCTACTGCCACTGCTACTGTCTTAAGTCATCATCTATATACCCCTTAGATTATTACATTAGCTTCTAGCTAGCTGCTTTCAGTCTCTTTTCTCCCTCTAAACTACACTGCTGCCAGCATTCTCTTAAAATGTAAATCTGATATTATATTCCTGCCTAATAATGTTATCTATTATATACTGTATACCTACTTCATGCTAGGCTCTGAACTATATAATCTATTTATAATCCTCAATAACTTTCCACTTTACTAAGATAATTTGTCCCATATATTACTTTTCATCTTTCTACCATTCATTGTTATCACCTTACCCATAAGTCATCCCAAAATACTTAATTTCCAAAATAGACCATGCATGCTCTTTTTTTTTTGATAAAGAGTCTTGCTCTGTTGCCCTGGCTACTCTGATGCCGTGGCATCAGCTTAGCTCACAGCAACCTCAAACTCCTGGGCTCAAGCAATCCTCCTGCCTCAGCCTCCCGAGTAGCTGGGACTACAGGCATGCGCCACTATGCCCAGCTAATTTTTTCTATATATTTTCAGTTGGCCAATTAATTTCTTTCTACTTTTAGTAGAGACGTGGTCTCACTCTTGCTCAGGCTGATTCTGAACTCCTGACCTTGAGTGATCCGCCCGCCTCAGCCTCTCAAAGTGCTAGGATTACAGGCGTGAGCCACTGCGCCCAGCCCCATGCACGCTCTTTATAAGCTGCATATGTTTACACAAACTATTGCTTTTGTCTGTAATAGTCCTTCTGCAAAGGTAGCTCAAATGAAATCTACCCTGAACTAGAGGTTAGAGTTAGTAGTGCCCAAAGTACTCTGAAAAAAAACCCTTTATTATAATAATTATTCAATAACATTTTAATGATCAATTAACATGTCAATTTCCCTTAGTAGACTGTGAACTCCCTGAAAGCAGGGCTATTGGATGAAGATACATGATAAAATATAAACGGGAGTAACATTTACGGAATACTTATATGCCATTACACTATTAGCCCTTAATATTATTTTAAGGCACAATCATCTCATCCTATTAGATAAGACACTAAGTTTCAAAAACTACTCCAATGGCAAAATGACTAAGTGGGCTAAGCAAGGATATGAACCCAGGTCTTTCTAAAGCTGAATTCATGCTCTGAACCATGACCCCATTGACTGACCTAAGGTGTCCAGGCACTTAATAGGTACTCAATAAATACCTGCTAAATAAGTAATGCAATAAAATGAGAAATATCCTTCACAAACATTATCATGCTGGACATTTCAAATACTGGCCAACTGTCAAAAGCACTTTCGTTAATTATTTGCAGTGAATTTTAAATCCCACTGATAGATACACCTCATGACCACACATTCCACTATCATCTAGGTAACATACAATAAAGGAATTCTAACTACTACTCTTAATTTATCCAAAAATACATAGGGACCTTAATGAAAAACAATATAAGGCAAATCAACACTTTAATATAATAGTTTTATTTTTTAAGGTATAGATTATTAAGACTGGGTCATAATTTAAATGTGATTAACTTCAATTAACTTCTGTAGGCAGAGCCAACAGACATGTTAAAGATAACCATTATACAGAGATTCATTTATTCATGTATTTACTGATGTCTACTATGTACCAGGTATTGGTCTAAGCACTTGAGATACAATGCTGAGCAGATCAGATAAAGATTCTTGCCCTTGTGAAACTTATGTTCTAGTGGTGGGGGGAGACAGATACAAACAAAAAATATAAGCAAAACATACAGCAGTCTTAAGACACTGATAAGTGGCATGAAGAAGAGAGAAAGTAGAGCAGAGTTTAGGAATACTAGACTGGGGTTGGAGACAGGTTGCTGTACTAAATGGGGTCAGGGAGGCCTCTGCAGGAAGTGCAAAGATTAGAGGTAAGAGTTAGCTATTTCACCATCTCAGAAAGAGTTACAACAAGAGGGAACAACTAGAGCAAAGGTCCCATGCTGGAGCATGACTGGAGCATCCAAGGAAAATTAAGGCGGCCAGTACAGCTGGAATATTGTAAGCGACAAGGAGAGAAACAGGAAAGGAACTTAGAGGGATAACTGGGAACCTGATTATTTTGGGCCTTGTAGACCCCTGTAAAGCCTATGGCTTTTTTGAGTTCCTTTTCTTCCCTTTGGTCTCTGCTCAAATACCACCTTACAAAGTGAGAATATGATAGACAGACGGAACACCTAGATTACTCAGTATAATACAGCAACTCAACAGCCCCAACTTCCCACATTTCCTTTTCCCTTTATTTTTCATTTTCTCCATGGCACTTACCATCATCTGACATACCTATCTAGTTATGCAAACTCAAGTAGGAAGGAACTTTGCTCAGTGCTGTATTCCTAATGCTCTGAATAGTACCTAGTACACAGTTGGCACCTTTAACAAAAATCTGTTGAATAGATGAATAAAAATAACAATCTAGCATTTTTGTTTTAATCCTGCCCTGTTAAGCCAGGTAATTATATTTAAACTTAAGAAGTGGATTCACTTAAATGTCTCGACCAAATCAGGTTTCTAAATCTGTTAACTGAAGAGCTGACTCTGAACTCCTATAAATTCACAAGGGTACTATAATCCTGTCAATCTCACACTTGAGAGGTAGCCTGTTGGGCTTCACCTGGCAATTTCACTGTCTTCATTAATGCCATTAGACAAGAGCAACACTTTTACCTGAATTTCAATAACCTTTATATTTTAATTTTCACTGTGTGTCCAGCTTATATTTCAATTTGTTTGAATTGTTTACATATAATGTTCAATACTTACGTTAACTTCAATCTTTTTGCATGACCAGGCATTACAGGAACATAAAGCATTTTGACTCCCTGTACCACCATTGTTGGCTCAATTCCATACTTCTCCTAAAAGTCAATACCCAAAAGAGGAAAAAAAAAAAAAAAAAAAATCAAAGCCTTACCCAAACATAACTTAACATTGTTTACAAACAACATTTTATGGCCAATAAAGAGAGCAAACTTGTGCTAAAAAACATTTTTAATTTCCAATAAAGTTATGAATAAAAACTAAACAGAAACCATACTCAAAGCTAATGAACCAAGGCAATAAAAGTATCTCACCTTGACTGCATTTATGAAATCCAAGAGAGTGAAATCTTCTTTTCCATGTATAGTCCATCTATCCCAAATTGTAAATGATATTCCATTTCTGTTGTAGAAAAATATTCAGAACAGAAACATTTAAATTTTCCTTTTACTGATAATAAAAAAAAAAAAAAACCCAAACCCAGCAGTTCATTATTTGTGATTTCGCTAGAAATTAACATGAGGAAAAAAAGGAAAATACAACTTCTAAAATATTTCATAATCTTATTTCACCATCACATCATACAGTAACCACTTTTATCAATACCTTGTTGATCCATACAGTATCTCATTATAAATCAGTATGTCTTAGTGAGGGTTTTCTCTCTTTTTTTAAACAGCTGCACGGAGTTTCATTGTGTGGAGGTTCCAGTCCTCTATTACTAGACACTTGGGTTGTTCCAATCATTTGTATGACAAACAATGCCAGAATGATAATCTTGTTTACATGTAATTTGAAATGTGTGCAAATTTATCTGCAATTCTGAAATATAGCACCGTATTTCCCTTATTGTGGATTATACTATTTTGTACTCTCATTAGCAATGTAAGAGAGTGCTTGCTTTCTCACATCCTTAAGATAGGTTTTTTTCAAGTTTTGGCTGCTGCCAATCTGAAAAGTGCAAAATAGAGACCCAAGGAATTGCTTTGCTTTGTCACAAGCTTGTGGAATTCTATTCTAGATCTCATGATTCAGTTAGATACTAGAATATTTCTAACTCATCTGGATTAGGCAGACATAGATGAAAACATAATGTTAAATAGAGTGGCAGATCAAGTTCTGTAAGAATTCTTTTTGGCTAGTTTAGTCAGAAATGTTCATGAAGATGAGGTTTGATCTGACCTTGAAGTAACAACAAAGATTTATATATATATTTTGGAGAAAAACGTGAAACCAGTTTTTCTCTCTTTTTTAAGTTTTAATATTTTTTTTTTTTTTCTTTTTATACGAGAGGTGTTGTAGACCTTCATACATACCTGATTTTAGTCTGTCTTACTTCAGATGTCTCTGTAAACACTATAATTGGAATGGCTAAGTTAAGGAAACAATTTTTGTAGGCTTCAAATGGATAGCCACCGGTTATTTTGATCATCTCCAAGGCAACCTAGATAAAACAAGGTAATATGATCATATTAATAGCCTAGAACAATTCATGAGTTTGACTGGATCTGCTCAATTTTCCCAAGTTCTACTCAAGCATTTCTCTGTGAATAGTAAAAGCAGTTACAGAACTGGAATAACGTACATTTCTTATTTATAAGGCTCTATACTTTTAGCATATTTTATACTCTCAATCTACTCTATACCTGGTCAACAAAGTTATTTAAAAAAATATTAATTTGAGCATATAATTTCCCTACTTTGAAAGCAGATGCCAGAACTAAAAAAAATACAACAGTCTAATATCGCTTAATATAAGGACAGGTAACTACATAGCTTCTAAGAATAATTCCAGAGTAATGATACAATATGGTATAACTAGGGCCATACTAAAGATTCTGAATCATTAAGAGTAAAGAAAGATTAAGGCAGTTCATTTTATTCAACAAAACAGAGCATCTGCATTGTATGGTGGTTATAAAGATGACTGAGAGGACTACTGCCTGTAAGAAAAATTATAATCTATCTTGAGCTTATTTTTGATGTTAAAATGTTTATGTATAGAAAACCTCAAAATGTAGATGACTATTTTCAGAAATAACTTCAAATTTTAAATTATAAAATCTAGTATTTATCCTTCCTTCTCTAAGATCTATGAGTGACTGGTTGGGGTTGGTAATGATAGGAAAGACAGGGAAGAGGCAATGAAAAAGGAACATTTTTATTCAAAGAATAATGAACTTACCAAGCCAGAAACTGCAGCAGTGGATGTGGCTATAGCAGGTATAATTTTGCCAGCTATGCGCTTTGTTTTGAAACGGTCAGCTGGTTCAATGTTATACATTTTGGCACGAAGATTTGATGCAGCTGTGATGAAATCTATGTGTCCATTCCGATCATCATCTTTTTCAAATGAAAGCACTGCCATCTGAAGGTCACCTGATGGTAAAAATCAGAAAAAAAAATTTTCCTAGGAAGTGGTTAAGCTGCCAGTTTCACTAGGTAAAAAGCAATGTGGGTTTACTATACTTTAAACATTCCTTTTATGTTCTTAAATGACTGAAAAATACAAGAAAAACTGAGACAACTGAAGTTATTGAAGGAAGGACATGAAAATGGCTTAAATACCAATAAATAAGAAAAGTTTCTATATTTAAAAAAGCTAACAAACAGTAAAATAAGAAAGGTGTGTACCACACATCTGCTATCAAGTGGTTTATATTAATAATACAAAAGTCAACATTTGTTATTGTTCAAAAATTTATCCATAAATCCTACTCTGAAACATTCTCCCTCTGGTAACTAAGAATAGGGCCAATTGGTCAAATAAAACTATGTATCTTTTTGAAAGTTTTGTAGATCAGTGGTTCCTCAAATCATTCTAATTATTATTATTTTAGATTATTTTCATGAAATACTGGTTCTTACATAAAATACCAGAAGTTTGGGAACCACTGATTAATGTAATAAAAAGATGGAGAGCAGGTCTAAAAAGATGACTGACTGGCTCTGTTTTTAAGGAATTAAGTTCAGTTTTCCTATATTTTGATATTTAAGATCATTTTAGCAAGGATGTATAGGTTAGCTTATATTTCCTCTGTTGGTAATTATGGAGACTAAGAATCTAAGAAGAGTTCTGTTTATGGTTCTTTATCCTGAAGTGATTTAATTGGGTCTGTCTAAAGATTTGTCTCCACGAGGACCTCATTAAACTGAATTTTTAATTCATTAAAAACATAGCTATTCACTCATTGTTTTTAGATCTGCTCACCATGAGAAGGACTAAAGCAATCAGAAGAACAATAAAGCAGTTAATGTGATTTGGGAGAATTATATTTCAACATTCTAGGGTAGGCCAATGGTGGGAAAAATGAATTTAGTCACAGTTAAAGATGAATAATGATTTTCATATAATCATGAAATCTGTATTATTATTACTGTTGTTATTAAATCCCACAAACTTTTGGGCATAGAGTTTAGTGAAAATAAAAACCCATCTGGTTCAAAACATTTTTATAAAGGTTTTCCCTTACTTTTGGTAGCTTCATTAGATAAAATAGCCTTTTCTAGTTGGAAAATAGCATTCCTCTCATCTTCACTGCTAATAGGAACATGGTCTGGTTTCCTCGCGGTTTCATCTGTTTGAACCACCTTTAAATATATGAATATGTTTTTTATTAATGTTATATGCTGTATCTAAGTTTGGTTACCACTTAGCTGTTTTATCAAATAAATCACAAATAAAAATATTTCCTCCATGTATTTTAATCAGATTATTAATCATTATGGTCCAATATATTTTACATCTTCCTTTAGTAAGTAATATTGTTATTTATGTATTTGTTTACTTTTTATCTATCTTCTCAGACTGGCATGTAAACTCTATGAGAAGAGGATCTTGATGTATTTTGTTCACTAAGAGAACTACAATATGTCTAAAACAACTTGCTCATAGTGGGCGTTAAAAATATTTATTGAATAGCTCATATGCTCTAAGTCCATATAGATCTCTTTTAAAATTACACCTTAAAAGTTAATATTAATCAACAGTTTGTGATTCTGAAAAATCTACTTTAAAATCAAGTGGCACAGCTCCAACTAGTGCACAGCTGTTTAATATTACCAAAGAAATTGAAGAAATCCATAAAATATATATTATGAGCATCCTTTAAATATTTATTGATTGCTGACAGGAAGTTCTTTCCTAAAGAATATGTTTTCCTTTATCTAGAAAGGTTAGCATGAGTAAGGCAGCCCATACCACAAGTAATTTACATTAAGAAATGACTTTTTAGACATTCCATGAGGGCACTGGAGTTAATATTCTCAAACCAAGAAACTAGCTTCATCAGCACTAAAATACTGTTTCTTTTTTGTTTGAGGTTTATTTGAGACATGGTCTTGCTCTGTCACCAAGGCTAGAGTGCAGTGGTGTTACAGCTCACTGTAATCTCAAACTCTTGGGCTCAAGCAATCCTCCTGTCTTAGCCTACCAAGTAGTTGGGACTACAGGCACGTGCCACCATGCCTGGCTAATTTTTAAATATTTTTAAGACAGGGTCTCGCTATATTGCTCAGGCAGGTCTTGAATTTGTGGCCTCAAGTGATCCTCCTGCCGGGGCCTCCCAAAGTGTTAAGATTACAAGCATAAGCAATTGCGTATGGCTCTTAAAGTACTATTTCTTATTTTAAAATAATACACTCAGATCATGCTTTCACAGATTAAAAGTTATTACAAGTATATAAGAAATGTTAAGGAGTCAACAAAGCAAAAACTTTTTGTTTGCCAGATGTCTAGTTAATATTTTTGGCTGTGATACCTGTAACTAGATGTGCAAACCTGAAGCTTTGGTATGAGCGGCTTTAGGTAGTTGTTAAAAACTCTGTAATTCATGTTAAAATTGTAGCTAAATTGCTCAGGAATATCTATTACTCCCAAACTTTGATACAGATACAGAAGCAGTGCAAGCCAGAAAACATATTGAAATAAGAGTAATAAGGGCCAGTCAAGTTATTGAACTTCTTGTGTAAGAGTTGACTTCTGTGGAGTTTTGCCCATGAGAAACATAGGCTAACAACTTTATTTGGGACTTCTGTCTATCCTTTCTATATTTTCTGCTTTATAGGCTACAAGTCATGAACATTTCATTCAGCAAACCCATCTACTTGTGTAAAATTAACTGCCGAAAGTCTTCCTTTTCCCAAAAATAAAACTGCAGAATTGAAGACTTGCACACATTACTTCTTTCTTGAATTCTGCAAGGAGACAGTCATTATTGCATCTTTTTGAGTATAAAGGATAAGGGGAAAACAAGGTTGTTTTGTGGATGATTTTTAGAGTGCATACAAGATAGGTATAAACTGATCATATAAAAAAGAAATAATATTTCATATTTTCAGACTTTCCTACATACACTGCCTAAATTTCATGTCCCGTCTTTACTAATACTCCCTTATCTCTTTCTCTTTCCAATGTATTTGCCTCGCAAAATCCCAACTGCAGTCCTATTCAATGTTTCATCTATTTTGTAGAACAACAGCACGCAAACAGCTAATGTAGCTGGAGAAAAGGTAATGATCTTCTCTCCAGCCACATTTAGTAGACTATATTAAGTGGGTCCTCAAATTTACTACAATTCTAATTAACTGATTTTCCTACTCTGCTGGGCAATTATTTCATACCTTTTTTCTCTGCTCTAACTTCCTTTATCTTTCTATACTCTCCACGCTCAGCTATTAAACTTGCTTATAATTTCAACTAAGAAAATAATAATATTTTTTCCATACTCCAATTCCAATCCATTAGAAACCTCTCAGGCATGCAGTAAAATATACACAAAATACAACCCTTTATCATCACTTTCCTGTTACCTACTACTTCATTCAAACCATCACCATCTCTTGCCTTGCACTCTTGCAATCTCCCATCAGCTTTTCCTGCCTTCTCTCTTATGTTACATAAAATCATTAACATAACAGCCAGAGTCATCCTTTTAAACATAAGTCAGATCATCTTGTTCCTCTGCTTAAAGGCTATTGACTTCTCATTTCTCAGTTAAGCACAAAGCACGTATCATAACCCCAAGTACCACTCCAGTTTCACAGTTTATCCCTGTTACGTATTCTTTTTAAAAAGTTCTGGCCTTAAAAGCCCTTCAAAGCTTTTCTCTGTATTTGTCTCTGCTGCCTGTATTGCTCTTTCACCATTCCCTCACTGCCTGCAGGTTTCTGCTCAAATGTTACCATTATCAGAGAGGCTTTCCCCTTCCAATCCATATAAAATGGATGGAGCACTAGTTCCATCCTTTTTATTTCTGAAACAAGGTGTCGCTTTGTTGCTCAAGCTGGAGTGCAGTGGCACAATCAGCTCACTGCAGACCTGAATTCCTGGCTCAAGTGACCCTCCTGTCTCAACCTCCAGAGTGGCTGGCACTACAGCCATGAGCCACCATACCTGGCTAATTTTTAATTTTTTTTGTGGAGACCAAGTCTCACTATGTTGCCCAAGCTGGTCTTGAACTACTGGCCTCAAATGATCCTCCAATCTTGGCCTCCCACTGTGCTGGGATTATTAGGTATGAGCCACTATGCCTGGCCTCTATCATTCTTTATTTCTTTTCCGTTTTATTTTTTTCTTCTTAACACTTATGTTCAGATTGCAATATTATATACTTATCACATCCACAAGGGCAAGAACTGTTCATTATGGTATTTTCCAGGTTCAGCATTATGGATACAAATGGAATTTTAAAAACTATTTGCTCAATGAATGAATTTCCAAACATACCTTGTTGGAAGGTTTGAATTCCTGAACCTTCACTTCCGAAAGAATATTCAAGAGGGCATTTGCTGATAAGTCCTGTTTTTTAAAAAAGTAATCAACAAAGATATTCTTCTATTTCTGAGTTCTAAAGCTAAAAACAATTTACAAAAGGTCCTTAATCATATTGAAATATTTGAATAATTATCATCTGAATATTTACACCACATCCATTTGAGACATTTACCTTTATTTCTATAGAAGTATCACCCATAGAGTTTATTGGGGGAGGGAGGTGTTTGTGAAACAGCACAAATTAGTCTTGCGGTTCCCAACTCCTGGGTTGTGGACCGGTACTAGTCTGTGGCCTGTTAGTAATCAGGCCGCACAACAGGTGAGCCACCGGTGAGCAAGTGAAACTTCCTCTGTATTTACAGCCTGTCCCCATCGCTTGCATCAGTGCTGCCTGAGCCCCACCTGCCTTGCCTCTCCCCCAACCCATGAAAGATTGGGGGCTGCTGTATTAGTCAAAAAACCTAAAATCTTAGTTCTTTCTTCAAATTTCTAAAAAGGTAGTTTTAGGAGTGGTTGTGAATATAAGACTGAGTGCCTTGAGATCAGGGATTATCTTTATCATTTCCTTAGCTTCAATATTTTACAAAGTTCCCTGGACAAAGTTATACTCAATATATAAAATAAAGTAAATGAAATTCATACCTTGAGAAGAAAATATTTAAATGGTTCAAGATGAACTTAGATGAATTTAAGGCTATGAGATTCATATTCATTATTAAGAAGCTGCTTAGGAAGAACTGAGGCATACTGTCTTTGAGGTCAACTACCATTCTTATCACAAAACTAGCACTCTTCTCACAAAAAGAATATCAGACTGAATGCCATTATCTTTACTAGACATTTGTGGTATATTTTATTTGAATTCCAAAAAGGATTAATCTATACCAAGCACTTTTATCTGGATCCAAAATAGCCAATGTTAATTATGTACCTGGTTCATATTTCTCCATTTAGCCTTACCTAAAAGTGTAGCAATTTATGTAGCTCTAATATGCATTTGTGAAGAAAAATTGACTAATGCAGATCTGCCTTTCAAATAAAACTGTATTAGACCTTTTATCTTAATCAGTGAAGATGATGTCTAAGAGAATGGATATGATAATAAGGTAAGAAATGTCAACACGGGGAAGCATTTTCAGATTTCCTGAAAGCACACAGTACCACAAAATAAGTCAAGCAAATGTTAACAAAGAAAATCTCTAAGGAATAGTTTTAAATTGCTATGAAATGGTTCACTTTGGTTTTTCAGAATTTGGATAGCTGAAATTGATGAACAGGTTATAAATATCTTAAAAATAAAGTATGACTTACAAATATTGCTTTTTCTCTACTTAACTTTGGAAAGAAAAATTCAACTTTCATCTACTTAGTAATACTGCAATGAGCTTTTAGTTTCTGCTATGTTGGAAGGGGTAACAATACAACAAAATAAAAATTTTATATCAAAAAGAATGATTCTTATAACCTGTAAACATATTTTGATACAATCAGCTGATCAGGCACCTAATTGTAACCTGGTTTTATATTACTTGCTAGGACATAAAGAGTATCTTACCTCTTTTGTAAATGGAATGCAATATACTGTAGCATATAATTTTGCAGCATTCTGAAGGAAACTGAGGTGCCTTTTGAAATTAAAAAATAAAGCAAAGTTTGAATGCATACTTTTAAAGATAATGTTTAACACATTAGGAACTATAGCCTTTAAAATATGGTTTGAAGAAAAACAATCAGAATTTTGTTAAACAATCAGACTTTTTGTTAAAGGATTACTTACTAAAAAGTCAGACAATGAAATTCTGGTCTAGATCAAAACATTGAAGAAGTTACAAAAGAGAAATCAATGTTTACCCTCAAAAACACTAATATTCAAGCAGTGATCATGATTCCTTTAGGGAGAGAATTGACTGGACAGAAGTACAAAAAAATCAGATTTGTGAAAGAAAATTCATTTTAATTAATAAGAAATTAAATTATGTCAGGTTCAAACTAAGCAAACAAGTTTGTTTAAAAACAAAAAAGGTTAATTTTTATAGGAGAAGTGGTTTGGGTAAGGTGACTAGAATCCTAAAACAAAAACCAGATAAGAGAATTAAGCATAGAGTTGTCTGTTAAAAGAAAGGTTAGTAAAAGGAAAGCTAAGTGTTTAATTAAAATATATACACAGTAAGTGTTAATCTAATGTGTAGCTAATATAGTGTATCTAGGTATTCACACAGAGACCAACTCCTTTGAAAACTAATTTGAGATTATTTAGGCAGATATTCAGTAATCATTTTTTCTTCCATGTAACTAAAGATTCTTATATATTGGCTTCATTAAATATAAAATCACTTATTGTAATTTTATTTTATGGATAAAGTCAAAGAAGTGATTTTTGGTTTTATATTAGAGTAGATATTTATTATAAAATATGAGGTTATTTACAACATAAATGGATTCACATTTTTGTGGGAAGAAGGGTTGTCGCTGCTTTGTAAGACAGAACGACTTGTCAACTCTTAGACTAATAGCAATGAAATAATTTAACATTAGAGAGCTTAAAGTTTTCACTCTGCAATTTATAGTTAAGAAATTTACAATGAAGGATGCATCTAAAACTAGATATACATACTTACAAAGGTTCATTTAAATCAAATTTTATTGGTGAAGGGGGTCTCTTTGGTGATTGCCAAAACAAACCTAACAAAAAGATACAAATATTATTTTCAATGTATGTAACCAGTAATAAATTACATTAAAATTTCTTCTCAACAGTTATACTTACTGCCATCTTTTAATCGTATGTCTAGAGGGAAACAGTGAAGAAGCTGAAGAGCCTAAAGAAAGAAAATGAATTAAAGAAACCCACTACTTAATATTATGAGGTAAAAATTTTTTTAAAAATAAAAATTAAAAAATTTTATGTATATTTAATAGATGCACATGCTTCAAAAATCAAAACACATTAAAAGATATACAGCGCAGTCTCCCAACCACGCTTGCATTCCATCTGTCCATTCTCCCTTCACTGCCTCCCATACCTGGAAGAACCTCCATTATCATTTTTTATCAATATTTGTATAGCTTTTTTTAGGGGAAGCACCTACCCAGCAAACCAAATATAAAATTATTTTGCTCCTTCTTATACAAATGATGGCATATTTTACATATCATTCTGCTCTTTTCAAACAGCTAATCTTTAAATAATGATACCAGAAAATACATAGTAGTTTGTATTTTGAAATAATATGATGTTTGAGATGTGCTTCAAAATCATCTGGGGGATGGTGAATATGGGTGGGAGTATAGAAAAAATGAGATTATCTATGAGCTGATAATTGTTAAACCGGGGCGATAGGTAATTAATAACATTAGGGTTCATTAAATTATTTCCTCTCCATTTCAATGGCTGAATTTTTTCAATTAAAAAACATTTTTAAAAACCCTGAAGAGAAGGTAAGAACTAAAACATTCCTTAGCATTTAAAACAAAGAAATCATTGATAATAATCATCTACATAGCAAGAGGGAAAGAAGTCACATTTACTGGATAAGGAAGTAGCTACAGTGAGTAGTACAGACCACTTTTCCAAGGTGGAGAGCCATGATGAAAGTGAAAAGACAGGGTAAGAGAAACCAAAAGATTTTTTTAAAAAGATGAACTTAATTTATATTCTGATAGGTAAAAGCCTAAAGAGAGGGAAAGGCTAGAGAGTGCAAGATACATTCTAGCAAATGTATGTTAACTGGAGTTAAGAATAACAGTTAATATTTAGTAATTATTTAAGTGTCCCAGTCTCTGTTCTAAATGCTTTACGAGTATTAATGCATTTGATCCTCACCACTGCCTTATGTAATAGGCACTAATTTATTATCTCCATTTTACAGATGAGGAAATAGACACAGAATTTGGTTATCAGATAGGGGTGGAAAAGGCAGAATTCTAATGAAATTTCTGACTGAATATCTCTATTTTCTCAGTCTCTTGCTTTTTCTATTCTGAACAAACTTCTTTCAGACTACAGATGAAATGTGTTCCTTATTCTCTAGAGGAATCCCTATATAAAAAAGACTTAGTGCACATAAGGATGGGATCAATATAATGCACAACTGAGAAGCAAATGAGTGGAATTTAAAGACATTCCTTAATCAGTAACATTCAAAGATAAATTAGTTGTGTGCCCAGAACCTTTTTTCACTTAACTTACTAGTTATTTCTGAAAAGCTTGCTGAAAGAAAGAGTACACATTTCAGGTTAATTTCTTAATAATTAAATGAGCCAAGGCAGACCTTTTCTGAATGTCTCAAATCACAATGCATACTTACCTTATGGTTAAAATATTTTTCAAACTTTGATCTTGCTAATTCTACACATTGGGACCAATTTCTAGGTCTTCTACTAAGTAACTTAATAACTTGAAAACAGCCTTCTAAACTTTGTCCACTTTGTATCTTCTAGAATGGGAGAGAAAAAAGAAGAACCAATATACTTCCAATTAAAAACACATACATCCCCACCCTCAAAAAGTATTTGCCAAACTTTGATGTGCCAACTCCTGTTTTAAGCTTTTTTTCCCACTTTAACCTCCTTGCCCCTTCCTCTTTTGAGGAAAATACCTTTGAAGTTGTTCTCATTATGAAAGTAGTAACTCTGAAAGATTACTGTCCCCTCATAAAATTTTCACTAGAATTTACCTCAACATGCAAATGGCTTAAATAAGCCCTTTTATTATCTGTAGCCCTCCTATCATTATCATCATATTTTTATAGGCTGAAGAATCTGAATTGCTGTCTTGTTGGTCAAATATTGACTGTTTCATACAGTTCAACCAAAATAAAAAAAGGGTCACTAGTGACATAATTTCAAGATTCTTGGCCAGGCATGGTGGCTCATGCCTGTAATCCTAGCACTCTAGGAGGCCGAGGCGGGCAGAATGCTCAAGGTCAGGAGTTCAAAACCAGCCTGAGCAAGAGCGAGACCCCGTCTCTACTATAAACAGAAAGAAATTAATTGGCCTACTAATATATATAGAAAAAATTTGCCGGGCATGGTGGTGCATGCCTGTAGTCCCAGCTACTTGGGAGGCTGAGGCAGCAGGATTGCTTGAGCCCAGGAGTTTGAGGTTGCTGTGAGCTAGGCTGACACCATGGCACTCACTCTAGCCTGGGCAACAAAGCGAGACTCTGTCTCAAAAAAAAAAAAAAGATTCTTGATACATCATTTCACTTCTTATGTATAATAATAATGTTATAATTTCTCTTTATGGTAAAATAAATCACTTGTAGGCAACTTGAAAATAAGATTACACTAACACAAAGTGTTAAAAGTTTGTATTAAAATGTTTTGATTTTTACCTGTAAAACTACTTCTGCAGATGGATAGCTTTGCCAAAATTTGTTAAATAATGAAGGCTTGTGGGAAAAGGAACTTTCAAACTATAAGAGAGAAGAGGGGAACAGTTACAAATAGAAGTTTATTTAAAATTGGAAATACTTTTCCTACTTCAAAGAAAATAAATTCCTTGAAAAGAAACTTTTACCTTATCTCTCGCCCACTGTATAGTATGTTCGATAGCAGCTGGAAAAGACTTTAGAGTACAAAATGGTATTTCTTCTTCAGGGGGATCCCGCTAATTTATAAAATATGATAAAAGATACTCAAGAAATGACACATTTTTACTGATTAAATTTACTTTTGAGCTTTAATGCCATTAAAAAATAAAGTCCAAAAATAAATAAAATCCAACCACATATTTTTTATATCTTCTCAGGCAGTAAGAGGAAAAGTTAATTCTTCTGACACTTTAGCTATTTGTTAACAGCAATGTAATGATAAGCATGAATCCTATTAACAACGCAATTGTAAACATGAGTTATTAATGTAATGACAAATATGAATCCTCTTATCATTTATCATCTGTGCACTCATTTGGAGTACTCATGATGTAGTACTCATTCATGGCAGACCACCATATATAATTATTTTTTTCTCCAAGAATTAAGGTAACAATTAAAATTTTATAATACTCCCTACTTTGAAAAGTAATTCAAGAATCCCCAATATACCAGCGATATATATAGCTCAGCATACCATGAGCTTCTCTATGGAGAAAAAAAATTGTTAGCAGGGATAACATGTCATTGGCACAATTTCTTGTTGAAAACATGTATTAAATAAACAGCAAATGTGTAAGCTGTTTCATTGGATAAAGTACTAGTGAAGAAATCCATATTCTTGTATCGGGTACATTTAGCCTAGGCTTACTGGTTTACCCAATCAAAAATGACTCACTTTGTCTCTTTGTACTTAGAGATTCATATTTTAGCTTTTTGATCTATGAAACATCACTAAATATTATAGAAATCAAAGAAGAAAGCCAGAAACGTATTAAATTCTGGTTTTTAGGAGTCTGAAGTCAGAACATACTAAAGGTTTAGGAAAGGTATAATAGATTGAAGAAACCAAGGTGATTTTTAGAATTTTATAACATTCCCTACTTTGAAAATCTTCTGATACCCAACATATCATGATTTTCTCCACCTAATCTTCAAATAAAACTTGTCAATTTAGTCTATTATAATATTTTTATTTTATTTAATCACCTTCTGATGTCATGACACCACATGGGAAAACAATAAACTTCATAAAAATTTAAAATTTTCACAAAACCAAACATATCCATTAAATAGAGATACTTACTCCTGTAAAAGTATTCTCTCAATTTTGCAACTAAGATTGATCTTTTTAAAATTGTAAAGCCTACAATTATTTTCTAGATCAGTGGTTTCAACTTTGACAGTATCTCAGAATCACCTGTGAAGGTTTTAAAGTTACATCTATATAAAATATGTGCATATGAAAGGCTTGTTCCCACCTATTAAGAATCTTATTCATGGCCAGGTGTGGTGGCTCACACCTGTAACCTTAGCACTCTGGGAGGTGAGGCGGGCAGATTGCTCAAGGTCAGGAGTTCGAACCAGCCTGAGCAAGAGCAAGACTCGTCTCTACTATAAATAAAAAGAAATTAATTGGCCAACTAATATACATAGAAAAATTAGCCGGCATGGTGGTGCATGCCTGTAGTCCCAGCTACTCGGGAGGCTGAGGCAGGAGGATCACTTGAGCCCAGGAGTTTGAGGTTGCTGTGAGCTACGCTGATGCCTGGGCACTCACTCTAGCCTGGCAACAAAGTGAGACACTGTCTCAAAAAAAAAAAAAAAGAATTTTATTCAAACATCAGTAAGATTTTGGGTAGGTCACTAGTGTTTTATCAAGTTTCACAGGTATTTCTGATAATGCATGCCAGGGGTATAATTCCTAATAAGAGTAAACATTAAACATATGTGCCCAATTACTAGACTTGGTTTCTTTATTCTTTATATACTAGCAAATGTCTAATAATGTCAGAATAAAACCAGAGTGGTCAGCAAATGAATATAATTTTATGTCCTTGTTGATTCTCAATATAACAGTTCTATTCTCAATATAACAGTTTAATTATTCTTATCAAGCAATCTTAAACTCAAAGTTTATTGGAAAACTAATCTAGCAGCTCTGAGAATTAAATACTAAACACAAGAATAATATTCTAGAAAGATTAAAGTTTTTTTTTTCTTTTAGGAAGGTACAGTATACCGCATATTTTTTTTCTTTTCAGCAGACACAAAATTTTGATGATAAATAATATGTTCAATTATATTTTTAAAAATGTACATGCACATAGGCACGGACATCATTGGGAGAGAAAAATCAGAAGGATTAGGAAAGCTACATCAAATGTATTGATTGATGAAGACAAAAAAATTATGAGATATAAAGAAGACATGCATTTCAAAATATTGATTCACTTACATGACTATTATAAGATTCAGTCAAATGAGGTACAATAACTTCAGTATGTCCCTTAGTGCCCATTGTTCCAGAATCTAAGAGAGGCCTTAGATTTGCTAAGCAACGGCTATTTGAAAAGATAAAACGTAAAAAATACAAAAGTGAGTGTAATCATGTAAGCAAAGGACATCCTACCACTATCTGTTGACCTTTTCACATATTGAACCCTTCTTGACTTGAATGTGGTACTGTATGAAACAGATACATTAATATCAAACAATCCATTGATCATTTCTCCCACCATCCACACAAATTTTGTTGTTCAACTTAGTAATTTCTGTCCCTCTGTTCCTCTCTTTCTACTACGTGTACTACCAAATCTTGGGCTTTGTTAACTTTTATCTCTAGGCTAATTCTTAATGTGTTACCCTTTCTTCTCTTGCTTTCTATTTCTTCATTGGTTATTTTCTGACTACAAGTTCTACCCCACTATATCTTCTCAATGTTTTCTTTATCACAAAAAATATTAACCTTTCTATATACTTAGAAGACCTATATTCTACATACTGTAATTTCTTCAAGTTTTCTTTTTTCCTCTTTTACCCAAGATTGCAAACTTTTCCCTACATTTCTCAACTGGCAAATTTTCCTCTGCTAATCCACCTGCTCTAGTACCCTAACATTAAGGAGTCACATAAAGATGTCAGAAAGATTATGTATGGTGCACACATTTAAGTCATTGGCTCATCTACTTATTTAACAACTATTTACTAAATGACATCACGTGTTGGGTATTGAGGATACAGTGATGGAAAATAAACGTCCATGGATACATGATTTACTAAGGAAACAAACATTAAATAAATATGCATATCAATACAAATAAGTGCTATAAAGGTAAAAGTATAGACTGCTGTGAATGATCATCATAGGAGGATCTAATTTAGAATTTGGAATTTAGAAATGTGGGCTCAAACTGAAAGGATGAGGGGAAAAAATTCTAATCCAAGGGAAGAATAGAAGGTAGGTAGATTTGAGGTCAGGAGTTTTAGACCAAGAAAAATAGAACTTTCTGAGAATAAAGCATAGTATGTGCAAGTTCCTGAGATAAAAAAGTGCTGAAGGCCTTATGGGAACTGAAAGAAGTCATGTGTGGCTGGAATAAAGAAAATCAGGGAGGATCAGGTAAATTTTAAACTGCAGTATTGGACATGTGGCAGTTACTCTATGGAAAACATTTAGGCTATGTTACAGATTTTGAATTCTATCCTAAGTATTGTATTATAGGAAATCACCAAAAGGTTTGGGGTTTGAAGAGTACCACAAAAGGAACATAAAGAACAATCAGAAAATTCAGTAATTTTTCAGTAAGTAGCTGCGGCAAATAGAAGTAAAAACAAAAGACTTAAATTTTAAGAACATACCTATCTACGTATCTCCTGGCTTCCACGTTATCTAATGCTGTAATAATTATATCTTGTTTAGTATAGAATTCATCATTGTAAATGGTCTCAGTTGCCGGACATACTTTGTTCAGGTGTGCATCTATCTTTATTTGAGAATTTATTTTCAGAGTTGCATCTGTGGCAGTGTAGCTCTTAGGTTTCTAAACAAATAATGAGAACAGAAGGAATAAATGTTAAACACAAAAAAATGAACTATGTTTGAACTTACACATTCTTATCACTTTATTTTTATTTATTTATTTATTTCAAGACAGAGTCTCACTCTGTTGCCCAGGGCTAGAGTGCCATGGCATCAGCCTAGCTCACAGCAACCTCAAACTCCTGGGCTCAAGCGATCCTCCTGTCTCAAGCCTCCCGAGTAGCTGGGACTACAGACACGCACCACCATGCCCAACTAATTTTTCTATATATTTTTAGTTGGCCAATTAATTTCTTTCTATTTTTAGCAGAGGCGAAGTCTCGCTCTTGCTCAGGCTGGTCCCAAGTTTTATCACTTTAAAATATATATATGAGGCGAAAGTAATGAGATCAGTTTGTATTTTTGGTTTGTGGAAATTACATTCATTGTAGTCACACTACATTCAATAATGCACATTAGTCCAAATAATTCACATATTTTTAATAAAAATCTAAACAACCTCTATCTCATAGTTAAGTGCTTTAGAGTTTTAAAAATAATAGGTAAAAGTCCAATTAAAGTTTTTTCCTAGTAATGATGTTTAACTTGGTAAGTACCTATAAAAAAATAAGAACACATTCAGTAAAATATTAGAAATCCAGACTCTACAGAAAATAAGCTGTTAGAGGTATGGGAGATTAACATTTGGTACTAAAATCATTTAAAATTGTTACTAATTCTGGGCAGAAATATTTTCAAAAATAATTACTTATGTTTCAATTTTATTAAAAAAATGAGTACAGTAGTTTCCCCTTATGTACAAGAGATATGTTCCAAGATCCCCAAGGATGCCTGAAACTGCAGGTGGTACCAAACCATATATATATGATGTTTTTACATATATGCCTATGATAAAGTTTAATTTATAAATTAGGCACAGTAAGAGATGAATAATTAGTAAAATAGAACAATTATAATTTTTATTAAAAGTTATGTGACTGGGGTCTCCGTCTTTCAAAATATTGTACTAGACTGTACTAACCTATTCTCAGACCATGGTTTACTGCAGATAAAAAACTGTGAAAAGTGAAACTTCAGATAAGGGGGACTACTATACCCAAAATATAACTCATTCTTTTCTTAAAGATTTAGGCATCATTATTAAATCACTAGTGTCATTTCAGGTGTTATCAAAGTTCATTTATATTTGCTTTGATGCTAAATATCTCTAGACCATTCTATTTGAATCCATGCATTTAGTTTTAATGGTATTTCTGTCTCTTCTCACATTGTTAGGCTGACATGTTTCATTTCTCAGTATTCTCAGATTACGAATAAATCAAAACTTTGTTAGAACTCAGTAAAATAACAATGAACAGGACTTTTTAGTTTTGTAAATAAAAGGCACTAAGCGAATAAATTTTGTGATATTTTAGTTCATAAGAGACTCTGTTATTCTGTCCTTTACATTTGGATAAGTGAGGCAATTAGGTTAACTATGCTATGCTACATGCCACTGTTAGTTTCTGTTCATGACATTCCTAAATTTAGCTTATTAAGATTGGCAATGAGTTGTTGAACAATAAAGGGGAAAACAATTCTAAAGTAAAAGCAACTTTACTTGACTAAAACTGCTTCTTTTCCTGACTTAAATATTTTGATCTCTAAAAAAAGACTGAGAATAAACATTTTACAATAAAAAGGGATTTTAAATAGTCTAACAAAATCAAAAAAGCACAAAAATTCTAAATGCTAAACTTTACCTGTTTTGTAACAAAGACCAGAAAAAAAAGACAGTGTCAAATTTATGATCCATCAAAACTTCAAATTAGAAAATCTGTTTCTATATACTTCCTTTCTAAAATTAAATATGTAAACATACCTTAGTGATGACAAAGTGAAAAAAATACTGCCCATGTTTCACAACTCAGATTTTAATATCCAAAATCAATGCAAAAATCAATATTCTGCTTTAAAATAATTTCATATTTTTCTCTTTTGTCATTCCCATTATTTGATAATTTGAGAGATTCTAAATAAAATAAAGGACATATTATGCTTATTCTAACACTATAGTCTATTTACAAAAAGGAAATTCTTTTTTGTATAATACAGATTTAAAAAGACTAACTAGCAACATACCTGTATGTGATGAGGACGAAACAGGAACTGTCTATTTAAGTTGGATTTTTCGATCAAGTCAGGATCTGTAACTGTAATCTAATATCAAGAAAATAGCTGAAATTATATTACAGATAAATTTTAATCTACTTGACTTTGCTCAGTATGACTAAAAGAACCCCCAAAAATTATTCTAAATTATTTTGGCTGGTAACACAAATTTTGTTTATAACACAAATATTCAAAAGAAATTACCAATACTACTCTTTTATACTTATATCTAATTATACTTAATGTTTAGCATAGGAATGTACCAAACAGAATAACTCCACTGCAATTCATGTTCAAAACTTTTTTCTAATTATTTATAACAGAGACTAAAAAAGATCACTATCACCTTTTAGAACTAAGTAATGAAATACAGAGGAGCTAGCTCTTCTTTCTAAACTTGATATTTCTTCTTAATCTCAACTAATTTGGAATTATTGCTTGCATGTTCCAATTGGAAAGGAACTCTGGCTAAGGCAGAAGTCTACAGATCTCTGGGCAAGCTGCCTGTTTTTGTAAATAAAGTTCTACTGGAACACTGGGAACACTGTTGTGACATTTATTGTCTATGGCTGTTCTTGTGCTCCTAGGAGCAGAGCTGAGTAGTAGCAGAGATGGTCTGCAAGCCTTAAAACGTTTGCAATCTGGTCCTATAAGGAAGTTTGCAGACTTCCATTCTAAAGGATGCAAGAAGAAAGTAAACAGACCCAAGATAATCTGAAGAGTATTCAAAATACATTTGTCATTTAAGCTAGTATTTTTAAACAAGATTTGCCTAGGTGTAGTGTTTCTCAGACTGTGTTCTACTTGTTACATGTTGATTGGTATTCACAAACACATTCATTTTCTCTCTCTCTTTTTTTAAGAGACAGGGTCTTGCTCTATTACCCAGGCTAGAGTTCAGTGGCACAATCATAGCTTACTGCAGCATTGAACTCCTGGGCTCAAGTGGTCCTCCTCTGTCAGCTTCTGGAGAAGTCAGGACTACAGATGTGCACCAACATGCCCAGGTATTTTAAAACAATTTTTTTTGTAGAGATGGGGTCTCAAACTCCTGGCCTCAAGCAATCTTCCTGCCTCAGCGTCTGTAGATGCTGGGATTACAGGCATGAGCCACTGCGCCCAGCCCCCATGTTCATTTTATTTTAGCTGGTAATTCCCTGATACTTTCAACATTTCTGTATAATTATGTTACAGGGTGTCCCTTTTAATAGATTTTAAAAGAATTAAATAGAAAATATCTTTTAACACAAAAGCTTAATAATTCATAATTATGATTACTGATATAAGGCTTTTTCCTTCTATCTCCTCCAATCCTACTTTTTATTCTCTTCTGTTTTTACCTTCTACTTGATTACATTTTCCTTTTTTTTTGTTAAAGTTACATACATTGCTCTTGCTTTCCCTCCCCCCTCAAGTCAGAGCTTCAAGCGTGTCCATCAGCTAGACAGTGCACATCACGCTCATTATGTATGTATATACCCGTCCCCTCCTCCCCCTCCCTCACACCCATAAATGTTTTGTTGTTTTTTTTTTTAACATTTTGGTTACATTTTATATCTTTGCCTTTCCCTAGCAAGGATTTGAGGTATGCCCTTCCCCTCCACACTGTTTTACCACATTCCTCAGATGTGGATCTACCCACCTAACCCCCGAATCCCTGGTGAACACCACCACCCTTTGAGCACCATAGTGTTAATCAGTCAGTACCAATTTGATGGCGAGTACATGTGAAGCTCATTTTTCTGATCTTGTGTCACCTCACTTTGGATAATGGGCTTAAACTCCATCCAGGATAATATAAGTGATGCTAGCTCGCTGTCGTTTCTTAGAATTGAGTAATATTCCATTGTAAACATATACCCAATTTTAATAATCCAGTCATGAACTGACGGGTACTTGGGTTGTTTCCACATCCTTGCAATAGTGAATTGTGCTGCCATAAACATTCAGGTGCAGATATCTGTATAATAGAATGCCTTATGCTCTTTTGGGTAGATGCCTAATAATGCTATTGCTGGGTCGAATGGTATTTCTATTTTTAGCTGCTTGAGGTATCTCCAAATCCTTTTCCACAAAGGTTGCACTAATTTGCAGTCCCACCAGCAGTGTAAGAGTGTTCCTGCCTCTCCACATCTTCCACATTCAGCATTTGTTGTTTTGGGATTTCTTGATACAGACCAATCTCACTGGGGTTAGGTGATATCTCGTTGTGGTTTTGATTTGCATTTCTCTAATGATTAGAGATGTTGAGCACTTTTTTTTTTTATATGTTTGCAGGCCATTATTCTGTCTTCTTTGGATTACATTTTCTTGATTCTTATTCCCCCCACACCCACAAACTGGTCTGGAAGCCAAATGTCTATTTTTATGTGGCTATGCTTGAAATTTTAACATGCACATGTGATTTAAGATCTAATTAATTAAAATTTCTATCCTACTCCTGAACAATGTGAGACTATCTGAACTATTTAACTTGGAACTCTCCCCCTCTGCTTTCCATGTTACCAATGAACATTTTAGTTACACTTATTTTTAACCATCCCACTTGGTCACTATTTTAATTAAAGGCTTTTAAAAATCAATGCTTATTGGCCGGGCGCGGTGGCTCACGCCTGTAATCCTAGCTCTCTGGGAGGCCGAGGTGGGCGGATCGTTTGAGTTCAGAGTTCGAAACAACTGAGCAAGAGCGAGACCCTGTCTCTACTATAAATAGAAAGAAATTAATGGGCCAACTAATATATATAGAAAAAAATTAGCCGGGCATGGTGGCGCATGCCTGTAGTCCCAGCTACTCAGGAGGCTGAGGCAGCAGGATTGCTTGAGCACAGGAGATTGAGGTTGCTGTGCACTAGCTGACACCATGGCACTCACTCTAGCCTGGGCAACAAAGTGAGACTCTGTCTCAAAAAAAAAAAAAAAAATCAATGCTTATTTAAATATAAGAATCCTGTCAAATGCCTCTGCTTACTCTTTATGAACCTCCCACATTATCTAGTAGTTCTTTCAATAAGAACCAGTACATGGTAATCATTAATCATTTTACTTGTTAGATATCTGTACTTTGCCCTCCCTCTTGAAAGATAACTTAGCTGAGTATAGAAATCTAGGTTGATGGTTATTTTTTTTTTTTTTTTTTTTACCTCCAAGGTTCTGCTTGAGGTTATTTTCCCTTGAACTATGAAGATATGCTTCTATCGTCTTCTAGCATTTACTGCTGATGAGAAGTCTATTATGCAATCTTTTTTTTTTAAATCTCTGTCTTTGATTTGTTTGGAACTAGTTTATCTTTTCAATCTAAAAAGATTTGTCTTTCTTCAGCTGTGGGAACTTTTGTCATTACTCATGGAATACATTGCTTCTTATCCATTATCTTTATTCTCTCTGGAAATTCTACTAGACTTATGCTGGACTTTGTGAGTACATCTTTCATTAAAAAAAGATGTCTTTCTATACTATATTCTAGGTACTAATATTTATCTTCTACTCATCTATTCTCACTTATATCTGAATTTTAAGATTACTGATCATACAGAAATTACTTGGCTTTTTGTAAAAATTTCTAGTTTAATGCTCTATCCTTAAATATCGATACTTCAGATCTAGGCAGTCAAATAGACCTCAAAAAAAGGGGGCAACGACAGAAATACATACTTTTAACTCTCAGGAATTTATTATCTTACCATTCCTTTCTCTTTGTTTGTGCCAACACCAAGTAAAGCTAAATTTTTTAACATTTCACAGCCTATGGCTCCACACCCTACCTATGGAGGAAGAAAAATGGCATATATCAGATTAAATAACATGACTATTTACTTATTAAAGAGCAACTTCATCTTACTTTTCTTCAAATGTTTATAAATATAATTTTTTAAAATAACTTGAACATTGGTTACTCATTTTACTTTGAAATATTTAATAGCTTTATTATACTATGTCTCAAAGAAAAAGTATAAACCAAATAAAGAAAAGCATAGTATTTACAATTCCTTTAAATACAAGACATTTAAAAATTCCAAATGAACATGAAACATTAGTACATTTTAATGAAAGATTCCTTACTTTTAGACATTTCTTAAAACTCATTTGATGAATAGAACTAAGACTTCTCTATTATCATTTTTACTTGAAACTGATAACAGATTCCATATGCATTTTTAAAAGCTCATCAATAGCTGATTTTCAAAACATTTTACAAATGATCACTAAAAATCAGCAGTATTTTCAGAATTGATTATAATAGTAAAAAACAAATGTCAGAAACAGAAGTTTTACGCTTCCTTGTCAATGCACTAAGACACTTAAGAAAGACAGAATTATGCCTATATTCCTTCATTTAGTGAAGAAAAAAACAAAATTGAACCCCACCAATTTTTAATATAGTTCTAGAAAATCATTTAATGTACAAAACTATCATACTCATATTTTTATTTTAAATGTATTAATTCTTTAGATCAGAGGATGCCAAACTCTTTCTGTAAAGGGCCAGACAGAAAATATTTTGAACTTTGCAGGCCATTTTCTGTCATAGCTACTCATTTACACTCTACTCACTTGGATTCATATTTGTTTAATACATTAACTCAATATACAATAGCAGTTTGAAATACTACTTATTCTCACAATTATTCATACTTACTAAGAAGATATTCAAATTCTGTAGCTTCTGACACAAAGTATCTCCAATGCAGGCTCGTAAGGCATCATATCTATCTCCTCTGAAGAAAACGAGGTATACCGAGGAAACAGAAGACACAGAAAACATTAAGATTAGTTTCATTATGGTTAATACAAATTTAATGTTATACTTTAGAACAGAATGCTCTTTAAGAGTTTCCCCTAACCTATTAGATGAACTATCTTATTTGAAAAAGAGAAAGACCCCATAAAGAAATCAGTGTTTCCATTTGACTTAACAGGATAAGTCCAAATGATTTAAATGAAAGTGACTTTATTTAGAAAAAACATTTTTCTAAGCCAGGGGTTTTTAAGAAAAGTTCTTTTAAAAAGGTTATGGATGGGCTTTGGAGTTATTAACCCATTTAAATTGAAGGCACAGCTTTGGGTAATGTATATTTTAGGGAGAATGAATCTCTAAACTTTTATCAGATTCTCAAAGAGATTTATGACTCCAAAAGTTGAATAATGACTGATACAAATAAAGACTGCAGATGGCGATATTTTTCATTTAATATCATTACAGAATGCTAACCATTCTCGTGGTGTACAATTTAAAACTTTGTATTCATTACTTATAAAATAAGAAAGAGACACAGCATTATTATGATACTTAAAATGACCCTTTAGTAGAGAAGAAACGACTACAAAAGTAAATGAGTTAGAAGAAAACATATATAAAACAAATGCATGTTTAGACAAAAACTTTTTCACTCTATTTGGCTCTCATACAACTAAGAAAAAGCAACAGAAATTTTAGTATTACCGTGGGAGAAATTCTTCACGTTCAGGTTTGCCTAGGAATTCGACAATATCTGCTGCTTCAAGATATAACTTAAAGTAGAAGATTAAAAACACAATTTATTAAGTATAAGACTTCAATTACTATGAAAAGAAGTTCTCTTCTACAATCATTTAATAATTAAGGGAAAAATGATGAAAATGCCAATTCAGAGCAAAATAATATATTAAAAATATAATTTTTAAAAATACAATATACAGTACTATATTCTTTCATTAAAACAATAGTAAAATCTGAAGAAACTTTTAAAAGATATATAATTTGATTCATGTCACTTAGTCATCCGAAAGATGATATATTTTAATTTCAAACCCAAGGAAATTTCATCTCCAAATCTGTTTTTTGTAACTACATAAAAACTTTGGAGGCCTCAATTTCAGCCACATCTGAATAATTTGATTACTTTTTGAGAACAAAGTACCTACTTTCTACTTATTTTCCAGCCTAAATAGATCATATGTCATCCAAAACTACATATACTATGGGGAAAATGATCTAGTTTCCTACTTTCCACAATTTTAGCATATTAAAAACTACCAATTAGTTTTTTCTTTTTTTTTTTTGAGACAGAGTCTCGCTTTCTCGCCCAGACTAGAGTGAGTGCCATGGCGTCAGCCTAGCTTACAGCAACCTCAAACTCCTGGGCTCAAGCAATCCTCCTGCCTCAGCCTCCCAAGTAGCTGGGACTACAGGCATGAGCAACCATCCCCGGCTAATTTTTTTCCATATATATATTAGTTGGCCAATTAATTTCTTTCTATTTGTAGTAGAGACAGGGTCTCCCTCTTGCTTAGGCTGGTTTTGAACTCCTCACCTTGAGCAATCTCCCCCCTAGGCCTCCCACAGTGCTGCCCGACCCAAACAATTAGTTTTAAGTTAATGAAAAAAAGAACTTAGTTTCACTCTCATTTTCATTTAAGTAACTTATGTGGTTAAATTTGAACATGATCAAATGCTTATTTATTTATAACATAGGATCTATATTAATAACAATATTTTATCTCTCATGATATTAAGTTATATCTAAATCAGACTTTCACTAATGTATTCTGTTTAAAAATAAGTCAAAGAATGGACCAGCAAAATAACATTATGTGGGTAATTTTAAGAATATAATATGAATGTTATATTCAAAATTCTAAAGTGTTTCAAAAAAGAAAGTGCCTAAAGAGAGTGTCCTCTGTCAATTATTCCTTTTGGTACAGAAATGAGGGTTTTTATTCCATTTTGTGACATTTTTATCCTATATTCCTGAAACCTGTACCATTCCTATGTTCTCCACCTTTAGAAGTTTATACCTAGAAAGGGGCGCTGAAGATTCATGATGGCGAAAGATTCTAAAGAACAAGTTCAAGAGTTCTGAGAGCCTAAGAATGCTAAGATAATAGTACTAGAGAACAACGAACTATACAGATAGAAAATTCATTGCCTTACTCTCACAGCTGAGAGAAATACATCTGAGAAAGCAATTTTGGGTTATATATCTCAATAGCCTCAAAATACAATCCTGTTAATTTCAATTACAGAAATAAGTTTTAGGCGAATATTACTTGTCTCTCTCAATCATCAAAAAATATTTTAAGGTTGCTTTTTAAATAGATTAATTAATACTAGATAATAATATATAACACATTCATTTTATGAGTGAAGAATTCAACCTAAAATTTATAAAACATTAAAATTCAGAACTAACCCACTGGCACAAAGGAGAAAACTTTCCCGTCACAGCTTTCAATACTTCTTGGCTGGCAACACCTCCTACTGCTGCAGCAAGTGGGGGTAAAAAGCCTCGAGCAGTCCAAGAGAGCCAATGCACGATGTCAGCATTTACTTCAGGCTGAAACACACGTCACGAAAGACAATAATATTAAGAGTATTCACATAGTGCCCTTAAAATTTCAATGACTAAATGTGAGAATTATTAGAACTCAACTTCCAAAAAAAGCTACTCAATTTCCCTAATAAATAACTTTTAAGTCAAAAACATCCAAATCTCATGATGAAACACCCATTTGCATATTACTTTATGTAGTGTTTCTCTTTACCAGTACCTGCCCATTTTTGCTTTCAGACTCTAGTCAACCCAAAGCATCACTTAGAATTAACCAGAATATCTATCATTTATAGTTTTTGTTAAAGTACAGTTTTGTGATGCCAGTCATACTTACAAACAACCAGAATTTAAAAAAAAACATTAATGAAAATTACTACAGAAAAACTTTGAACCTAAACTAAAATAAATAAAATGATTCATAAAAAATAGTAAGAAGCTATCAGTTTGTGCTGGAAGTGGTAATAAAACTGCAATAAATAATGACACAATACATTGTTAAAAGATAAAGTTCTCAACTATGTTTGAAAATTCAAATTATGTTACTAAAAATAAAATTAATTACCATTATGAGGAAATATTGGATTTTGGAGCTACTGTTTTAGCATAATTTCTTGTATGTGAAAAAGATCTTTTCACGAGCTCTGGTATCTCTTTTTCTATTACTTAAACATCAGTAATCTTAATTTTAATCTTAAACTTCAAGAAGGGCTCAATTCCCAAAATCCTCTGTGAACAATAGTTTTTGTATATTTAGGAGCGAACAGGGGAGAGTTTTTATTACTACCAAAAATATCTGTGATACAAAAATTATAAATATCTACTCCCTATTCCACTCCTCCATTTCAATTTTCTGTATCTCATTATTTTCAACTATTAAACACCAACCTCAACTCAGACAGATTATGATTTAAGTTGTGTCATGTTTGAATGTAGAGATGTTGGTCGTGATAAATAATAAAAACAATGATGAGATGCTAATTGCAGTTAATCTGAATGAGCAAATACCATGCCAAGCTTTATACTAAGCCCTTACATAATCTTCAAAATAATCCTAGGAAATATAATTTCTATTATATAAGTAAGAAAATGGATTAATTAATTTATTCAAGATTTTACAGCTAGTAAGCAGTGAAGCCAGTATGCACATCCAGAAAGTCCAACTTCACAGCTTTATTCTTATCATTAGGTTACACTATCTGAAGTTCCTATTATTTTTTTAGTAAATAAACATCCAAATCTTGATAATCTTTTGGTTATCCTAGGCTATAGACAACAGCCTAAATCTAAATTTCCCCACACAATCTCTAAAACACAGACATACCTATAAGAAAAGAAATAATCTATAAGGATGCAGACCTTATATGCAGAAAAATAAAAAAAGAATAATAGTTAAAATATTATTTTAAAATTAAAAAAAAAGAAAAGAAATAAATTGACAGGGCTGTAGCATTGCTAGGAAATAGAGAATATTATAAACTTCAAATTATTTGTAAGTGGAGAAACAGATACCAAACTCCAAGATATCTCTGGACATCACAGTACTACGTGCCTACACAGCAGAAAGTATGAAGAGGTCACAGAAAAGAGAGTGAAAGGCCTAATGGTGACAAAGCACAGTCAAAAAATATCTAAAGAAAAAGAAAGACCCAAACTAAGTGCAAAAAATACTAAACACAGGCAGGAATCTGACAGATCTCAGGCCTGGCTATAGTGAAAGAACTCTGTGAGACAGACAGATGTGAATAGAAAGGGAGAGACATCCTTTGATAAAGCTAAAGGGAGGGAAGTTAAAGATATGGCAGAAATCAAAGAGGCACACTAACAAAACACACTAACACCTCTCCACCAAAATAAAAGTCATCTGTTAAAGAAATCTGTTGTCAGTACTCAAGAGAAGAGAATGTTATAAAAGCAGGAATCTAAAAAGTACCCTAAATCCTTACTCTGTCCAAAAAATAAGCACAAAAAGCAGTCTACTATACAAAGTTGAATCAAAAAGCAGAAAATTAGAATCAAAACAGTGCAGCTATTGAAAATTTCCTCCCAAACTAATCACAAATTAGGTGAAATTTGTTGGGAGTGAATTATATATTCTTAAAAAGCTCTTGGAGATGGAAGAAAAAAACAACCAAAAAGCACCTTCAATTAGGAATTTAAAAACTAAGAACAGAAATCATCCATTCTACCCCTCCAAAAAAGGAAAGAAATAATTCATAAAAGAAAATCTTAATCTATATACTGAAATGGGTTCACTGTGTATCTGAGAAAATTTACCAAATGATCAACTCGGAGATATAATCTGATAAAACTGAGATTTCACATATGAAGACAAAATATACAGAGCCTCAAGGCAGAAAGACCAGATTATTATTCGTAAGAGTAAAAAATTAAGCTGGCATCTTAATTCTCAATAGTAAGATACAAAGTAAGATATCAGTGAAGAAAGTAATATCCTAGAATTTTATATCCAGCCAAGCTTGTTTTCAAGTATGAAGGCCATAGAAAAAATTTGAAACACACAAAAATTCAAGGAATACTAAAATCCTGAGTTCGTTCTACATTGTAGAAACTCTAGACCAAACCAGATCTCAACACTTAAAAATCACAGTAATCAAGACAGAATGACACTGGCAAAAAGATATCAGTATGAAGATAGTAGCGAGTACAAAAACAGACCTAACATATATGGGCAATAAATTGTTGACAAAGATGCTTTCACATTTCACTAAGGAAAGAATAGTCTTTTCAACAAATGGGTTAGAATTACTGGACATTCACATACAAAAAAATGAATCTTGCTCTATATGTTGTACAGTATATAAAAATGAACTCACAAAATTGTGCACAAAATTAGTATATAATCATGTAGACTGATCTGTACTTTGCATTATCATGTCTTGATCCATACTTTGCATAACACACAGAAATGAAATTATAAAATGACAAAATCATAAATCTTCTAGATGAAAACAAAGAAGAGCTGTGTGATCCTGCATTAAAACAAATTCTTAGAACAAAAAGGCACAAACCGCAAAAAGAAAAACTGATAAACTGAACTTAAGGGAATATTTGTAAAACACGTATGTGACAAAGGACTCTCATCCAAATATAAAGATATTGCTTTAGAAAAGTCATCAAAAAAAAATAAAGATATATAAAGAAGTTTCACAATAAGAAAATAAAAAACCTAACTAAAAAATAGGTAAAGATTTGGAAAGACAGTCTCTTTAATAAAGAGAAAAGGCAAATAAGCACCCTAAAAGATGCTCAAATTCATGGCCATTAGTGAAATACAAATTGAAACGGCAAGACACTACACACGTTAACATGGCTAAAATTAAACAGACAACACACAGTGTTAGAGAGATACAGAGCTACTGAAACTCTCATACATTTCTAGTGGGAATGCAAAATGGTAGTTACTTTTTAAAACAGTTTGGCGGTTTCTTATAAAATTAAACATATACCTATCATATGACTCTGTAATATACTTCTAGATATCTCCACAAGAGAAATGAAAATATATGTTCACATCAAAATCTGTATACAAATATTTGTAGCAGCTTTATTCTTAACTGCTCAAACTGGAAACAATCCATATGTCCATCAATTGTTAAAAGCACAAACTGTGGTGAATCTAAAAATGAAATACTATTCACCAATAAAATGCAATGAACATGCAACAACATGGACACAACTCAAATTCATTACACTTAATTAAAGAAGCCAGACTCAAATGGCTACATACTATATTATTCCAGTTATATGACATTCTGGAAAAGACAAAACTATAGGAGCTGCCAGGTTTGGTTGTGGGCTGGAGATGATTATAAAGAGGCATGAGGGAACTTTTTGGCATTATGGAAATGTTTTATGTCTTGATTGTGGTGGTGGATATATACCTGCACACTTTGAATTCATTGTGTATACCTGAATTATGCATAGAATTGTAAAAGTAAATACTTTATTAAACATACCTAAAAGCCTAAAAATCTTAATCACATCCTTCTGTTTAAACATAGACTTCAACAATCTATTTCTAGCTTTTCACATATTTTCTTTCTCTAACCACTAAATATGCAATAAAAGATCTTTCTTCTTTTTTTTTTTTTGAAACAGGGCTCACTTGTTGCCCAGGCTAGAGATTCCGAGCATTACCATAGCTCACGTCAACCTCCAACTCCTGCGCCAAGCACCTCCTGCCTCAGCCTCCTGAGTAGCTGGGACTACAGGCATGCACCACCATGCCCGGCTAATTTTTTCTATATATACTAGTTGGCCAATTAATTTCTTTCTATTTATAGTAGAGACGGGGTCTCGCTCTTGCTCAGGCTGGTTTCAAACTCCTGACCTCGAGCAGTCCACCTGCCCCGGCCTCCCAGAGTGCTAGGATTACAGGTGTGAGCCATGGTGCCGGGCCTAAAAGATCTTTCATTCATGGCTAGTGAGTCACTGCTTTCAGTACGTTTATTTTTTTCTTTGTGTAATTATGTACATATATGAGATCAAAGCTTCCTACCACTGATGTTAAGACTGTCATTTCCCCTTTATTTTTATAAAATAAGAGCAAAATGACATCCTTTTCAAGTAATTATACAAACACTGCTATGTTGACAGCTGCTTAAATGAAACTGTTGACTGGCACACACAGGCATCATAACATGAAAAAATCATTTTCTAGATGATATATTCAAGTCCATCTGATATGCAAAACACAAGAGATGTAAACGCATAATGTGTAAAAGAGGTGATTTATAGGAAAGCTGATGACTTATTGAATTTAACTGTGTTAACAAACTAAGTAAATGAGAACAAAATAATGAAAAAGGATACTAATACCAGTAACAACAGCATCAGCAGCAAATAGTAATTACTATGTCACATGGCATTCTAAGTGCTTACAAAATTAAATCATTTAATGTTCATAACAACCCAATGAGGTAGGTTAACCCTATTTTACAGATTTATAAACTAAAGCAGAACAAAGGAAAAAAGAGTTACAGAGTCAATAAGTAGCAAAGCTGGGATCTGAAGGATAAGAGAATATTAATATTGAACATTTATATGTTATAAACTAATTTTTTAACAGCTATAACTGAATATTCACCTTCTCTTCCAAGGTTTCACTTATAGTTGCTGCCAGTGTGAACAGTTCTTCTGAATCTTGTTGGCATCTGTGATTCAAAACAAAGCAACTTACTTCAATTTTCTCAATTGCCATAAACAGTAGGACATATTCAAAACTAAAATTTCAGGTCCAGCTAATTTTTTCTATATATTTTTAGTTGTCCAATTAATTTCTTTCTATAGAAAGAATTAGAGACGGGGGTCTCGCTGCTGCTCAGGCTGGTCTCGAACTCCTGACCTTGAGCAATCCTCCTGTCTTGGCCTCTCAGAGTGCTAGGATTACAGGCCACTGCGCCAGGCCGAAGTTGTAGCTTTTAAAGGGTTCAAAGTGGAAAAATTCATGTTTAGTATGATTTCACTTCTGTAAACCAATCTCTTCACTCCCACCAGGAAAAAGCAGAAAGCCGTAAGGAATGTTTTATACAGTTTGGTGTGTATATACTAGTATTTCAATTTCAAGGACCTTAGCTACTTTAAAAAAAAAATTATAGTTTTTGAAATATTACTTTTATAAAAAGGAAAATAGTTATTTTTAAACAAAAAACATTACCCAATATTTGGCTTGCGACTGTAATTCTCCTGAAACTGGTCCAAGGCAAGCAGAGCTGTGTGAATCTGTAAAGGTGCCTATTGAGAACATTAAAAATTGTCAAATATTTACTGAGTGCTTATATGTGCTGGGCACTGTGTTAAATACTTTTAGAGCACTATTTAATTTAATCGTCATCATAAACATATTAGCTTGATACCATCACTAACTCTATTTAACAGATAAGAAAATTAAGGCTTAGAGAAGCTAAATGAGTTGACTTTAAGGCCATAAGACTACATTTAAGCAATAGCTCCCAGTTTCAACTCCAGGTGGTGTGACTAGTGTTTACTAGGTTATCCATATGAAACCTGGAGTAATATCTAGCAACAGTGAGAAAACAATTGTACAAGAATACCAAATCCATTTTCCTTATTAATATTTACAAATTTGGAAACTGTTAATTCCTTCCTTATCATAAAATACATTATGGTCACAAAATTATACCTAGTGATTTAAACAAACAGAATATATGCTTAAAATTTTTTTTTGTAAGAAATCTGTATTATACAGAACTCTACACGGTTGAGAAACTTTTAATAAGGTCATCTTTGTATGAGTTCTTGAAATCATCTTTTAATTATCTAAGGTAGTAAATCACTATAAAAGTAAAACTTTTCTCTATTATTCTAACATTTTTTCCATGATACAAATTCCTGTTACCAATCTTTGGAGGTCAATCTTAGATATGTGAGTATAATCTTTATTAAGAAAACCTGACACCAAGGTATATATATGGTTACACCATTTTAACTTTATAATCACTAGCTAATTCCCATCCCCCACTCTGCTGCCTCTCTCAAACCTGCAAAGTGTTTATTTACCTCAGGATTGCTGAAATCTACAATAAGGCACTCTGGATGTTTTATTTGTCTCTCCAATGATTCCTAATAGAAAAAAAAAGTATTACTTCAGAGCAGGGGAGTGATTACTTGATAAAATATACTGTTATATGTCAGTGCACTAAAAACAATGGGGGGATCTCTCAAAGGTCTGAAATAAATCAGGTTAAACTGATATATTTTAATTGAATATAAAATAGCCACTATTCTCCCTTATCTTATGACCACATTAAAAAAGAATTAAGTACAATAAAACAACCTGCTCCACATAGTAAATTTGGGACCAATTAGTGAAAACATTTGCATATTCAAAAAAATGTGTTTTAATAGAAAAGCTACCATATTTTTCTTTTTTTTTTTTTACGTAACCTTAACGTTTGTATTTTTTTATTTTTTTTTTATTATTTTTTATTTTATTTTATTTTTACATATTTTTCTGATAACAAGTTATCAAGACTTGTTATGCTCAACAAGACTTGAATAGATACTCAATGTTAAAATCTTCTTTGTGGAGCAAAGAACACAAAAGCAAAACAAAAAACCCAAGCACAATCCCAAAACAGCCACTCAATCTGAAATTATCTGAGGTATAAACATCGAATTAAAAATTGGGAACAGGGCACAAGGAGGTATGCGGGGGCAGACCTGACTAGCTATACTAATTTAATTTATTGTTTTGTTCTATTGGCTTACACAAAGCCTTGTAAAGGACTATAGTAATAGTTATTAATAATATTTCTGAAAAAGAAAAGGCAATCAAGCTAAAAACTTTGAAAACTTGCAAGGGAAAACTGAGAAGTAGCTTAAGTATGTAAGCAGTTTCAGACACAAGTAGTCTTTACATTCTCTCTGTACAGCTAATTACATTTTCCTTCCAGTACCAGAAGTTTACAGGAATTATTTTACATTTCCAGCATATATACTGCTTTCTGAAATTTATAAAATTAAATTTTTAAAATCTGGAGTAACAAGTATGATAAGGAAATATTCCTTTTATTTTAAACAATTAATTGAATAATAAAGCAAAACAACCCTTGCTAAATCTTTTGCAAATACATTAGTTTTATCTCCTATCTTACTGAATTATAAAGTATGCTCAACTCTTTGATGATTAAAGAAGTTCCTTTGGGGTATACTCATACGCCTTCACTATATGCATATGGTATTCTAGCTATAGAAGATAAGTCTTTTTTTGTTGATATCAGTTTATTTCCTTAAATTCCATTTTCCTCAGAGTGGGTACAAATTAAAAAACAATCTGTTCAGCCTTTAAACTGTTAACTGAATATTTATTTTGTTTTTTCTCTTCTACCATTTTTTCCTGTAAAGAAATACTTTTTAAGCAGAAAAAAAGTACTTACAAAGCAAAATGTTTTAGGAGTCTTAACTTGGACAGCTATGCCTCCATGTAAATATGGTTCCAGTTCTGCAGTATCACCAATACTAAAAGAAAATGGTGATACCACTAGAAGAAAGAAAATAAGAAAACCATTACATAAGAACATAGATATTTAAATGTTAATTCTCCCTAATTTACAAACTTAAGGAAATTCTAGGTAGTGTTTTTTGGGGGTTTTGTTTTTTTTTTTAATAGAAGGGTGGGAGGCGTATGAGGACCTAGACAGAGTATTTTTTCCAATGTGAATTTTGGGATTTAAAAATAACCAAGAAAACTTATGAGAAAAAAAGAGTAATGAGAGGTACTCATTTTTAGATATTAAAATAGATCATACAGTTTCAATACATTGATGCTGATTATATATCACAATAATATATTAATAGCATGGTGTTGGCTCATGAATAGACAAATGGAATAGATTAGAGAATTCAGAAATAGACCCACACACACACAGGACACAATAAAGGTGGCATCTAAAACCAGTGAGGAAAAGATCGTATTACTTAATAAATATTTTGGGGGAAAAAGGCCATCCAGGAAAATATCTATTCCTTGTGGATGAAAGTTTTAAATGTCAAAAAAATTTAAATGGCAGAAATTTTTTAGATAAAAGAATGGGAGAAAAATTCCTTTAAAACCTTCTTAAGGAAGGCTTTTCTAAGTGATACTCAACATAAAAGCCATAATAGAAAAGATTGAATATTTTGATTATATCAAAACACAAAAAGAAAACTTCACAATAAAAACCCATCACAAGCAAAGAAAAGGTAAATGTCAAACTCGGAAAACTGTTTGCAATTCGCATTAAAAAAACTGGCAAGTATGCCATATAAATCAGGAGTTCCTGGGAGTGGTTAAGAAAATGATCAACAACTCAAAAAGAAAACGGCAAAGGACAGATGGTTCACATTAAAGGAAAAATAAATATTAAATAGCTCTAAAACCTAAGAAAAAGATACTCATCTCATTTATAATATGAAAAAGGCAAATTAAAATTATTTTCTGGCCAGAGAACAGTGGCATGTGCCTGTAGTCCAAACTACTAGGAAAGCTAAGACAGGAGGAGAGCTTGAATCCAGAAGTTTGAAACTGCAGTGCACTATAACTGTACCTGTGGATAGCCACTTAACTCAAGCCTGGGAAACATAGCAACACCCCTTGTCTCTTAAAAAGAAAAAAAAAATGCTCTGATAACATTTTCATCTATACTGTGAAATATTACATAGCCATGAAAGAAAACTTGCAGGAAAAAAAAAACACTCTACCATTACTGTTGTGAAAAGATCACCAAGATATTTTGTTTAATAAAAAGGCAAAGGGCAGCACTATATATAATATGCTACCTTCTGTGTAAAAAAAAAAGCATAAGGAAACCCTAAAAGGATTTTCAATAAATTAAGAGCAGTGGTTACCTGTGGTAGGTGGATGAGAACTGAGGAGGCGGAGACAAGGATGGGTAGAAAACTTTTCACTGTAAACATTTATCTTTTCTTGTTTCGGAATAATTTGCTTATTTAAAGAATTAAATTAAAAAGAACAAGTGGCTGGGCATGGTGGCTCACGCCTGTAATCCTAGCATTCTGGGAGGCCCAGGCAAGAGGATCACTCAAGGTCAGAAGTTTGAGACCAGCCTGAGCAAGAGCAAGACCCTGTCTCTACTAAAAATAGAAAGAAATTAATTAGCCAACTAAAAATATATAGAAAAATTTAGCCGGGCATGGTGGCACATGCCTGTAGTCCCAGCTACTTGGGATTGAGGCAGAAGGATTGCTTGAGCCCAGGAGTATGAGGTTGCTGTGAGCTAGGCTGATGCCATGGCACTCTAGCCCAAGTAACAGAGACTCTGTCTCAAAAATAAATAAATAAAAATAAAAAACACAAGTAAACCCCCTTAATATAATAAGACTTACATAGTAAGTAGACAGAAAGGTCAGCAGAATAAACACCAAACTTAGCTGCTGTTACTTCTGAAGAGGGGACCAGGTCTGAAACAGGACTCATTTTTAACTCTACTTAAACATATGTGTGTGTGTGTGTGTGCGCGCGTGTATAATGTTTTTCACATTAACAGAAACCTACCCTAGAGAAATACCAATTAATAAGTGGTAAGGAAAAAGAAACACCCTTCATTAACAGCCACTCTATTTAAGCATTCACCACCTCCACCACAAATCATTTTTGGTACAAATGTGGGTTTTCTTTATCACCATTCTTTGATATCCAGTGACTCCTCTTTATATAGGCAGCCTTGAGATTCTGATCCATCACCATAATCTACCACTGCATGGAACTCAATAACAATTAATTCTAAATGATTAGGCTAGTCAATTTTCATAAAAACAGAAATAAATTCTTTAATATCAATGATCTGAACCTGTATTTAAGATATCTGGCTGTAGTTGGGAAACAAAATCAAATAGTTTTGTTACCAAAGATGCTTAAATATGCATCCAAAGTTGTTTATCTCTAAAGAGCTTGTAACAGGGACTGATTTTTCCCTGTTACAAAATGTAGCCTAAGGATACATGTTGCAGTCATAAAAAAAAATTCCATTTACTAGTCTACACACTAATCACATAATTATATTTTCTTTCTTTTCCTTTTTTTTTTTGGAGACAGTCTCACTCTGTTGCCCGGGCTAGAGTGCCGTGGCGTCAGCCTAGCTCACAGCAATCTCAAACTCCTGGGCTAAAGTACATACTGCCTCAGCCTCCTGAGTAGCTGGGACTACAGGAATGGGCCACCATGCCCCCTTTCTTGCATTCTTTAAATAAATAAGATGACCATGAAGGAATCTTTGCTCACCTACTGTATATGATTAAAAAGTTTCCTCCTAAATGTCTTAAAATGAACTCTTGTGGTCTCAATTCTCACTGCCAGCCCTGTCATTATATTACTTGTAGTTCCTTGAGTTGCCTTGCATCTGACCCTTTTCTAATTGTCTCTGCACAGAATACTCTTTTCAACAACTTCCTAAGCCAATGCAATCTTCAGATTTTAATCAAGACACACTGTTCCACTGCTGCTGTCACCAAACTGGGTAGTTTCTTGTTAAATTTAGAGTTCCCAGAATGTCTGTATTCTCTTAATATTATAACTGTTTAACAATGTCTTCACTTGGATTCAATGTTTTGAGGCAGAGTTGATGTTGTGTTCTCAACACTGACTAAAGTGTCAGAACTATAAATATGCTGAATAATGAGTATGAATAAATAAAACACATAAATATACCAGTTATTTGGTGTGTAGATCCATTTAAACCCGTCATTCCATTAATTTCTCGAAACGTTACGAATTGTCCTGTCTCAAGTTTGTGAGGATGACTTTCAAGGCAAGTGACAATGCCAGGATTAGCCTAAAAAGAGTAGAAAACAAATTCATGTACTCTTTCAAATCTTATGCAAAAAAGATAAAGTTATCATAAAATTCTCAAAACCAAATTTCTAAGCCATTCTTCTACTTAAGTAAAAGCAAGCCTTTAAAGAACTGTCACAAAATAATTATCAAAATATTACTATTTTTAATGAATGTTCACAATATGATTACCATGTTTGGTGGGAGATGTTCAAGTTAACAAAATATTCACTTATGAGTTATCTTAAAACTGCAAAAAATGAAAAATATTGCATCTTATAATAGTTTGCTATTATAATATCACCTTTTTGAAAATAGCATTCACATTGACTTTGAAAAATTTATTTTAAAAAGTTCATTAATATAATCATACTTGCGTTATGTTTGAAATGAAAATTTCTTTTGGTTCTTCTCCTGTTGTATCTATAACTTCAAATTCATCACCAAAATCACAAAACAACCGTGACCAAATTCCATGTATATCTGCACTGATGAACTGTGAAACAGCAAAACCAAGTTCAAGCTTGTTTATTTTTAGAAAGAAAAAGAAAGAAAAGAAAGAAAAGAAAGAAAAGAAAGAAAAGAAAGAAAAGAAAGAAAGAAACCAACCCAGCTCAACTATCTTAGGCCCTTTTATGATAATTTCATTTATAATTAAGTATATCCTTGATAATATAAAGTGAATTATGAACAAGATAAATTGCAGACTGTTTTAGAAATCAAAGAGTTTGGTATTTGGTAAACAGATTTCTAGTGTAACAAAATCAAAACTGATCAGTGTTCTATAATATAGAATATACATTCTATAATTTTTAAATAACTAAAATTCTGGCTTTGTCATAAATTCAAGCACAACTAATAAGAAACAGATATCTTGGTTTGACGGTCAAGCCGTGACTTTTTACTAGTTATTTTAGAAAAGAGGAGAGTAGAGTTAACGGAAAATAGAACAGAGCTACATGAGAGCAGAGTTGGCAGAAAAAGAGCTGAGAAACCAACGGTGCAAAGTGAAGTCATGAAAGGTAAAAATTAAATTCTTAAACATAATCATGTTTTATTAAAAGCAATTTTTATAACACATACATTATTTCCAGTCCAAGAATTTGTAAAGAAATTATCTGTGTGCTTAAAGCTATTTTTAGGGCTATTGCTAATAAAGAGAAATCTTTATTCTGTAATGCATCAAATCCTATATAAAGTAATATTTTTCTAACAAAATTAAGTATATTAATATTTTGGTATCAGAACATATCTCATTAAAATAATTTATAAGCCCAATTATAGAAGTGGTGAGAGGCTAATGGAAGACTACCTCCCACTTGATCATGCATTGCCTTTGTTAATCAAATGGGCATTTAAGCATTTTTTTATGAAACAAAACTGAGTATCTTTTTTTAAGTTTAAAAGCTACAAATTCCAGGATAATTTCTTTCCAAAATAACTCTAAAGTATAGACATATCTATACCAATTACATAAATAAAGATTTTCATTTGTAACCTGGCATAATTATTTTGTAAAACTTCTGTGCCCTGTTGTAAATTAACTGTTCTGTCTTATTCATGAACTTAAATTGTAAAACATAGCATAAATGCTCTAGAGTGTAAATATGCTATGTAAATACCACAATCCAAAAATTTTCACCACACCTATATCATACAGTATGATTCTGGCTTAGCACCTAACTCAAAGGAATAAACATCTTTTTCTTTTTTCTAAAGGAACAATGATCCCCAAAACAAAAGAGATGGAGTTAGTAGGGAAGAACTAAGATCTAAACCTCTTCCCAATATCTCCACCACCTAATTAAGCTGGACAAAAATCTAGAAGTCTTTTTGACCACTCATTCCCTCACAACTCACATTCATCCACCCACAAGTTCTTTTAGCCCCGAAAGGCTACAAAACATACCTAAAATTCAATGATTTCTCACTATCTCTACTTCCAACTCTTTTGTCTAAGACACCAGCATCTCTCAGCGAGGCTACTGCAATAGCTCCTAACTGGTCAAACTGCTTCTACTCTACTCTTATAATCCAACAGTTCTCTTTCTTTTGGATCTCTTTCATGACTCCTTTCCAGTCTTAAAAATTACTGAGGATCCAAAAAACTCTTCATTTGGAAAAGTAGGAAGAGGGTCATATGTATCTTATAGGATCTTCAAGGATATCTGAGTTTTAGGCCCATGAGTTTTGATCTGATTTATATTTTTAAAGGATCATTCTGGGTTGCTGTACGAAGAACAGACTACAGCTCTAGTTTACGTGAGTCACAGTTATCCATATTTACTGTGTTAGAAATTAAAACTGAGCAAAACTTAAATCACAAGAATATTCAAATATGTATTTCATTAGCTGTTGAAGCAATGATACCACCACACATCATGTAGACTCTGGAAAGCTTCACTGTGCCTCCTAAGAGAATCAGAGTGAAAAAGGCAAATAACTAATGACTTCTTAATAATATGAAAATAGTTTGACTATGTAGATTCCTGAAGAGTCTCAAAGACACTTAGTGTCCTCGGACCACACTTTGAAAACTGCTGCTATAGGCTATACCCTCTACTGCTTCTCCAAACCTAATCTTCTGTGTACTTCTGGTATCCTCTTTTTTTACCTAGCTCCACTTTGGTCCTGCTTGCCTCTTGCTGTTCCTCAAACACACCAAACTTTGCTCGTAGACCTTTGTACTTGCCGATCCCCCTGCTTTGAATTCTCTTTCTCAGATTCTTATATAGCTGTTTTGTTCTCATTATTCAGGGCTCTATTCAAATGTCATCTCCAAAGAGAGGACTTCCCTGACCTCTAATCTGAAAGAACAAGCACTGGCCCCTCTGCCAACACCATGCAGATATTGTTCTCTATTCTATATTCACATTTTTTCTTCACAGGATCTGAAACTATTTGAAAACACATCATGTATTTTTTTTATTATGTTCCCTACCAGAAGGTAATTTTCATGAGTGAGAAAATTTGTTTGTCTTGTTTACTAATGTATTCCTAGTGCCTAGAACTATACTGCATACATAGATGTTCAATATTCATTAAATGAACCAATGAACCTCTTGAAAATCACCATCATATCATGTTTAAAATAAGATGATGAATTCAATGTTTATCATCCTTTCCAGGAAAATTTTGGTAATTTGTCTATAATCCAAACTTAGACCCTAGTTTTAAAAATAGGAAATGAATATGATACCAAAACTAAAAAGGAAAATCTTATTCTGATTGTCCTCATGTAAAAAAAAGTTTCTTTATAACCCACTGAAAAGATACAAATACTAACAGTGAACGTATGCTTCCTGTGGTTAACTACCTGTCATTATTAAATGATATTACCTTAATTGGAGGGCACTGAGAACGGCAAAAGTCATTGATCTTCTTTTGCAATGGAAGTTTGACCTCAGTCAATACTACACACTGTTGAGAATATAAGAAATTAAAGACCAGAAAATGTACAATTATTTTGGTAATACACAAGAATCAGAAGCATATCAGTTTGCACTATGGAAAAGATACATTGTTATTCTTGTAAAAAATTATTATTGTATGGCATTCCATTCTAAGGTTAATATCTTCAAAAGTATAGAATAGCAAAACTAAAAGTAACATATACAGGGGAAAACCTGCCCACATTAAATTCAAAACTGTCAAAGCCTTCACAATCAGAAGCAAACCTGAATATCCCATATTGTATTTATAGACTCCAAATGGTTAGAGATTTGGAGTCTATAAATACATGGAAAAATTAACCTAACCACCAGATTATTATTTTCATGCTAGCTTAAAAGGGTAACAATTATATTTTTAAGAGATACATAAAGTACAAGAGCATGTCTGGGTGTGGATTTAGTTTTATTATCTAGAATTGGTATGCTTCTTGCAGGGAGACATTCCTCCAAGGGTTTCTTACTCTATACACGTCTTATCAGGTTTGCTATGAAGGCAAGGCCCTTAACACTCTTTATTCAGGGCCATTTCTCAGGATTATATCAGTTGTGAACAACTTGCGGGATGAAGGACATCCTCCTATCTTCCTCAGGGACAAAGAGAAGGCTTATTTACTGTTTGCTATAAAAGAGCAGATTCCTCAAGCTCAGTGTTCTTCTCTAAAGCAACCCACTACGTGTGCAGGCATCCACTGAGCCCTCTGCATTACACCAGTGGGACTTGAGGGGGAGGGAAGGGAAGAGGAAATGCAATATAACACCATATTTTTTTGCTATGCACTCAGTAATGAAGTCCTTAGTCTCTGACCCATGAATCTCATCTTTTCTGTATCAGTGAAACAGTAACAGGCTAACTCAGGTGTCCTCAAACTACAGCCTGCTGGCCACATGCGGCCCGCCGAGGACATTTATCCAGCCCACCAGGTGTTTTTGCCGCAACTGCCTGTCCTGCTTAGCAGTCAACTAGTCCCAGTGCACATGTGTGGAATGTGTGCAGCACTCTGCAACGGTGTGAGGGACAGTGAACTGGCCCCCCCTGTTTAAAAAGTTTGAGGACCCCTGGGCTAACTTAATAGTTTGCAAATAATATAAAATCAAACACTAGACCCAATGTACTTTGAAACTGATTTGTGTTTTATCAGTGCTAGAAAATTCTCAGCCATTTCTTTGAATACTGCCTTTTCCTAATGCTCTTTCTATAAATCCAACCTCATAAATTAGATCTTTCATTCAAGTTCTCATTTCTTTTAATCTCTCATTCATATTTTCTCTTATTTCCATGTGCTGTAGTCTTAGTGATTTCCTCAGATCTTTGAATTCACTAGTGCTTATTCCAGCTGTATCTATGCACTGTCTAATGTATACACGGAATTTTAATTTTTAAGACTTCATTTTCATTTCCAAGAGTTCTACTTGGTTTATCACATATGCCTAGTCTTTTTCAATAATGTCTTATTTTTATATATTTAATTCTTTAAGATTTACTCATTTTGAACATCTGTATTTTATAGTCTCTATCCAATAATCCTGTTCCCCTGAAATTCTTGGAGGTTAAATTCTAGCTTATTATATCCACTGACTCTTGATCATGTTGAACTGCTTTTTCCTATCTTATTATTTTGGATTGTGAACTCCAAGGGACTTTATATATTGGAATATACTGTGGCCTAGTTGAGGGCGTATTTCTCTAAATTTGTTTAGTTTTTTTTCTGTCTAGCATTCTAGGGTATAGTCACTATAGTACTACTTTTTATGTTAAATTCTCAGCTTGGGAATTTCCAGACCACAAAGATTATAAAGTTGATCTCCAAACCTGTATGAGGGCAGGCCTATGGTTATGAATTCCCAGGGAAGACCTTTATTTTTCATCCGTAGCTCAAGAGAAAACAGACACACTTCTTATTCTGATGGGCAGATTATTCTTGTCCTCCCTTTCACTGTTGGTGTAGCTCTCAGGGGTTCCAGCTCTACAAAGAGGGGAAGGTCTCAATTCCATTTCTCTAGCTCATGAAGTCCTAGGTCTGCATCTTCTGTTTCTGTGTGACCATTAATTCCCAAGAACCTTGGTTACTGTTACAGGCAAGCCCTGTCCCTGAGAGTGACGACAGAAAATAGTTAACTGTCTTTTAGCAACCTGTTCATTAAGGCCTCTGAGCACGTCCCTTATGTTATTTTGAACTCAGTCATTTAGAAGGAAGTCTGCTTAGAAATTCTTTGAAGCAGGATGGATTTTAAGTTATCTAGTCCAGAATGGAAGTCTACACTGATTTTTAAATGAGTAACAACATAATTTTATCACAGAAAAAAAAAAAATCAATGTCCACCTAGTCACTTTTAGAACACTGAAGATGTTGAGAATTTTTGTTGTTATTTAAGGAATTGTTACCTATAAATAGATTGAACAACTGATCCCTGTATTTTGCTTCCCTGTAACTGTATTATTTGCCATGGCTTTAGGAAGAGCAGAGTGTACTTTCCCACTCTTTGACCTTGGGCTTGACAATGTAACTTGCTTTGGCCAATGGTATGTTAATGGAAGTAACACAGAGGCTTGAAATGTGCTTGAGTGGTTAGACTTTCCTTTTTGTGTTTCTGCTACTGCCATGAAAACTTGACCTGGGTAGCCTCCTGGTCACAAAAGACAGACATCTGAAGCAGAATCCAGACCTTGAGCTTTAGTCCAAGCTGAGTTCAGCCTAGGAACCTCAAATGACATGCAGGTGCATAAGAAAGAAATAAATGCATGTTGCTATAAACCAGATAGTTTTGGGTAGTTTCCTTTTTTTTTATTTGGGTAGTTTCTAATGCATATCACTGTGAAAATACTTAACTGATATAACTGCTTTATCAGTAGTTCATAGCCCCCTTCCCTAAAATGGAGAATTTGAAAGGTATTATTCTAATAAAATTCTTGAAACTTGAAATTTTTTGTTCTGTTCCTCAAACACTAGGTTAAATTAGTTAGACTGCACCAATATTTAATGAATTGCCTTGGAATTTGTCAATAACATTTAATACAAAATGGAGTACTAACCTGGTATTTACCTAAGAAGGACAGTTCTGTAGTCTCATTGAAAGGAACAGAAGATGATGTCACATGAACGTACGGATTTAGTTCAGCAATATGTTGAAGTACAGCTTCAGCCCTAAAAAAATAAATAACTGCCATTATTCTTTTGTTTAGTATACTCAATCTCCTAAAGTTGGACACTTTAATACAGGGGTCCTCAAACTTTTTAAACAGGGGGCCAGTTCACTGTCCCTCGGACTGTTGAAAAGTGCGGCGCACGTTCCACACATGTGCACTGTGGGCCTGGGACTAGCCGGCTGCTAAGCAGGACAGGTAGTTGTGGCAAAAACACCTGGCCGGCCGGATAAATGTCCTCAGCGGGCCACATGGGCTGGCAGGCAGTAGTTTGAGGACACTTGCTTTAATAACATCAGAGGAAACACATGTTATGAAATTTCAACAGAAACTTAAACTGTAAGAACCAAGACTTCTTTATCTTTACAGGTAACTATACATTCTTGAGGTGTACTACCATATTCCACAGTAAGCCACACAGTCTAATAGTTCCAAAGATCTTAAGTTTCTTAAAAATTCAGCAATACTAAAGAACTTCTTTAATAAATTCAAAGATATTCATTTCTAGGCCCTTAAAAATATGTGAATGTATCAAAAGTTTGACAAGTAAAAAGAAATAAGCATATACCAATTTATGGTAGTGTTAATTTATGGTGATGAGCTAAACACTGGCATTCTAATACAGAAAATATTCTGTGTAATTGAAGGAGTAAAATAAAAAATATCATAATACATCAAAATATCTTCACCTGTTTCTTTTATTAACAACATCATCTTCACAAAGAAAGAAGTTGGTTCCTAGATCCCATGCTTGGCACTTTTCCGTATCATGAATTGTAAGTGCCTTCAAAAAAGAGGAAAAGTATTGGTTGAAGTTAGGAGTAAGACAAGGATGCTCACTATCTCTGATACTATTTACACTGTACTGGAAATACTGTTTTGTGTAATTGGACAGTGAAAAGTAACTAAAGGCAATACAGTTGGAAAGAATACAAAACGAGATCTGTATGCAAATGGTATGACTCTATACATCTGGAAACCCCACTAAATTGATGAAACAAATATTTTAAACATTAAGAGAATCAACATATGAAAAGCCAAAAGATTTATATAAACAAACACTTCAAAATACTCCATGTTCCAAGTAAAAAAGATAATTGACAAACTAGAAGAAAAACTTGTAGCATATGTCATAGGCCACAAACCTTACAGAAAAAGGGGCAAGATATTATGAACAAGGAGTATAATGAAAAAGAAATGCACATGGCCCTTGAAAATATGAAAAGATGTTCAATCTTGCTCAGGAATGAAACATGTTTTCTCACTTGCTAGACTGGTATAAATCTAAAAGTTTGAGAACATACTCTGTTGGTAAGAGTGAGATAAATCAGCCACTTTCATATATTACTGATGGGAATGTGAAGTGGCTCAACCTCACTGGAAAGGAATCTGACAACTGTAGCAAAAAGACATACGAATTATCCTTTGACATAGCAATCCCACTTTTAGGAATCTATCCCAAAGACATGCTGAGAAAAATACAAAAAGACAAATGTACAAGGGTATTAAATGCAACACTATTTATAACAGCAAAAGATGAAACAATCAAAATATCTACCAGTGGGGGAATTAGGTTTATAGAATATACACCTACAAAATGTATAACCATGCAATAATTTAAAAAACAATGAAATCTATATTTATCACTATGGAGTAATCTCTAGGATATGCTATTAAGTGATAAGCAAGGTGAAAACAAACATCTGAGCTGCCAGCTGTCGGGCAAAGGTTTCACAGCCTGATGCTGCCCTCAAGTCGTTAATTGTGATATTTTTCAGGCAGCAACCAAAAAGAAAAGACAGACAGAGAAACGAGGGCCAAACCATCCGTGCTTGGAGGTTCCTGGGTCCCCAGCAGCGGGCCCAGAAGTCCCCTCCATCTGAAGGGGTGAGGCCTTTAACATGGACTCGGCGGCTAGAGACTTTGGCCGGAAAGAGCTGGCGACCTTTCGTGGTCATTGAGAAAAGGAGTGTATGCGCGTGTTTGCGAACCAGGAGCCAAACCCGTACTCTTATCCGCGTGTAAGTAGTTTTCAGCGGGGCAGCGTCCTTGCAGGTCTCATCTCATGAGCTTTCTTTTTGATCCTAGAAGGGAGGCCCTCCCACCAGCCTTACATTAAATGTAGTTTTTAAATTATTAATTTTAATATTACTAAAATTTCTATCACATCTTGCATTATAAGATATTTACCTCTTTAATTATATTTGTACTTTCTTACTGTAAGTGCCTTGTCTTGATGATATTAATTTAATTATTTATTTGCTTTATGTTATGTTACCTGTAGACATAGTTTCACCTGTATGACATAGTTTCAGAACACCGAATTTCAATATTATTAATAACCAGTGTATTACTGAAAATATTAAGATTTTATTATATTTTCTTTTTTATTACTCACCTGGATTTAGCAACAGATACTGCCTTTTTTTAAGCTTACTTAATTCTTCTGGATAGTTATGAACAAACTCAGTCAACAGTTTGGTACATTTATTCATCTTGCCTTGATTTTCAGAA